AATTTCATCTTTGTTCCTGAGAGCTCTCCTTTCTATCATAGATAGTGAACAACCTCTTGAATATTTAGAACCAGGTTTTTATTGGGCTCCGCCCACTTTCAGGCTTACTGTAAGAAAAAAACACCGTAGAAACCAAACTTTTTTTCCTAGTGGAGCAAATTGGTCCAAACCAGTTTTTAAAAACAAAATATGTTCCCATATGAACATTTATAGTTATAGAACTGACCCGGAAAAATTTTTCTTTCAAAAAGAAAAAAATTAAAGCTTTTTTTGAAAAATGACGAATTTCGCAGTCTTTGAGCCATAACTAGTACTAGAACCCCCTGAATGCCTGGATTTTTTTATTTTTTTAATCGACGCATTAGGGTCTTGTGAGTAGAGAAAAAAATGTCTAGAAACTCTGAATCCGGGTGATCCAGTTGACCTCCATCTCGGAGAACGCGGCCAACTTGAAAATGACTAAATTTTTAAAAATCAGTTACTTTCTTGGGAGCAGGATTTCCCTTCACTTCTTTTTGCAAATCAGGCACAATCTACTCAACACAGAAGTGGAACAAAAACTTATGACTTCCAAGCATGGCGAAATTTTTTTTTCCAATTTTTCACTTTTTCGGATTCATTCTTTTTTTCTGTCCTTTCCAAGTATTGAGCTCTACTGGATTGGGATACCCGGAATGCTCAGAGTTTATTCGTTGTACTGATCCGTTACATCTTCCCAAGTTCTTTAAAAATATTCCCAAGCTCTGTTTCCGGGTGATCCATTTGACCTCCAAGCAACCGAAGCGGTCGACCTCGAATTTGAGCAAAATTAAAAAAATTTTCCAAAACGTTTCTTTGCTTCCTAACCAGTGGTTCTCATTATCTGGAGAGGTTTAGTGAATTTTCTGTCATCAAAAAGCTTATTTTTATTGTCGTAAAATTTTTTTGACCAAACGCAGCATCAGAAATACCCCTGTTTTTCCGAATAATCTTGAAATCCCTAGTTTTTTTCTTCTAATAAAAAAGTTCTAACTTACGTAAAGCCACTACTTACGAAAAATTAGTGACTAATATTTCGTGAAAAGTAAGAATCATGTTTGTCGAAGCCAATTGTTTGAGTTTTTTTCTTTAAGCTTTTTCTGGATAAACTAATTTTTTTGATTTTGCACTGAAAAAACGTTTAAGTTTCCCTATTACCAAGGTTGAACAAGTTTTCTCATGAAGAAAAACAAAAATTAAAAAATTGTTTCACAAGGTGAAGAGAATAAATCAAGTGGAGAACCTGATTTAAGGTCGAATTTTTGAAAAAAATTGTGGAAGCAAAAAAATAGAACTTTATGTTCCTTTTATTCTGAAAAAGCAGGAAGTAACGTTTTCTTTTTCGAGACTGGTAATGAATTATTTCAATACAGTAAGAAAAATCTAAACTTCATTCTCATAAGAGGGTTGGATATTTTTTTACAAAGAAGTTGATTTCACATTGCGGTTGAGAAATTTCTGTAAGTCAGCCAGGAAATTTCCCAATGTACCAGATGGACATGAATAAAACAATCATGTCCTCAGAAAGAAGCCATTTTTTGTTTCTCTGTTCTCATTTCTTGAAAAATAGGGAGTTGTTCAGGTTAAGACTTTCAGGATATTTTCCTGGTACATCGATGAATATTCTGGCAGCCTTTCTAAGAAATTTTGACCACAAAGTAAAATGACTTTCCTTGTGAGTAACTTTACTCGATTAATTCGCGTTTCTAAAGTTTTTCCTATTATAAAATTTGGAAACTTCACTAAACCTCTCCAGATAATGAGAACCACTGGTTAGGAAGCAAAGAAACGTTTTGGAAAATTTTTTTAATTTTGCTCAAATTCGAGGTCGACCGCTTCGGTTGCTTGGAGGTCAAATGGATCACCCGGAAACAGAGCTTGGGAATATTTTTAAAGAACTTGGGAAGATGTAACGGATCAGTACAACGAATAAACTCTGAGCATTCCGGGTATCCTAATCCAGTAGAGCTCAATACTTGGAAAGGACAGAAAAAAGAATGAATCCGAAAAAAGTGAAAAAAATTGGATTTCGCCATGCTTGGAAGTCATAAGTTTTTGTTCCACTTCTGTGTTGAGTAGATTGTGCCTGATTTGCAAAAAAAGAAGTGAAGGGAAATCCTGCTCCCAAGAAAGTAACTGATTTTTAAAAAAATTTAGTCATTTTTCAAGTTGGCCGCGTTCTCCGAGATGGAGGTCAACTGGATCACCCGGATTCAGAGTTTCTAGACATTTTTTCTCTACTCATAAGACCCTAATGCGTCGATTGAAAAAAATAAAAAAATCCAGGCATTCGGGGGTTCTAGTACTAGTTAGAGCAAAAAGTTTGAAAATGCCGAAAAAACGAAAAATTGGAAAAACGTCAGAAATTTTTTTTCAAAGGGTTCCAGCTCGCTACTTTTGAGCTGTAATTTTGCAGCAAGATGTCGTATGTTGAACAAAAATAAGAAACAAGACAGAATCCGGCTTTCACAAAAAATAGAAATTTTCAAAGGTTCTGCGATTTTCAAGTTGGCCGCGTTCTCCGAGATGGAGGTCAACTGGATCACCCGGATTCAGAGTTTCTAGACATTTTTTTCCTCTACTCACAAGACCCTAATGCGTCGATTAAAAATAAAAAAATCCAGGCATTCGGGGGTTCTAGTACTAGTTATGGCTCAAAGACTGCGAAATTCGTCATTTTTTTCAAAAAAACTTTAATTTTTTTCTTTTTGAAAGAAAAATTTTTTTCCGGGTCAGTTCTATAACTATAAATGTTCATATGGGAACATATTTTGTTTTAAAACTGGTTTGGACCAATTTGCTCCACTAGGAAAAAAGTTTGGTTTCTACGGTGTTTTTCTTACAGTAAGCCTGAAAGTGGGCGGAGCCCAATAAAACCTGGTTCTAAATATTCAAGAGGTTGTTCACTATCTATGATAGAAAGGAGAGCTCTCAGGAACAAAGATGAAATTTTTGTACCAATGGTTATTCGAAAATCTCGGAGAACGTGTGTTAAATGAGTACTTTTTTCAGGTAGTCTGCCATTCAAACAAAATCGACAGCTGCGAAAAGCTATCACACAAATACCTCCTCACTGATATTTCTAAGGCAAGATTTTTCAATAATCCCAAAATTCAATACATTTTTCGATTTTCAGGACACTTCATGCATGATCCAATGCACGAGCTACATGAAGCAGAAGTAGAAAAAAAGAAAAAAATATCGCCGCAAATGTGTCAAAAAAGCAAAAACTGCCTTATTTATTATATTTATTTATTTATTGTGCAATGTACATAATAATGAGCAATAAAATATTTTCTCATAATGTAAAAAAATTTTGGCCCGTTTCATTTCTGTTTCTTTTTCAAATATGCTACTTTTGATTAACGTCTCGACGTCCCTCCGAATCCTGGAAATGGTCATCAAGTTAGAATAATTTTAGGCCTTTCAGAAACATGGGAAGAAAAATTATGAAAAAAATGGAGCAATAAAAAAATTTTTAATTTGAATTTATTCGGTAAAAAAATTATCGTAAAGTTCATCGGAATCAAATTTTGAAAAACATTTCGTTTTCCGAAATCCAAACTGGAGCTTTCAAAGGAGAATGAAGCATTTTTTTCATTATTAAAATTTTTTTAAAGCGTACTTTTTGAGTGAAAAAATTTTCAAAAAAATTATAGAACAAACCAGAAGAAGATCGAAGTTCAGAAGAATCCGAGGTCGAGGTATATCTTGGAGAGGCGGTTGGCATGAATCCAGTGTCTTGCATAAATCGTCGGTTTCTCGTCGTTGTCGATTCACTGAAAAAAAAAAAATTATTTTGAAGGCTTTCCTGAGAAATTTAAAAGCGTCTCCTTCAACTGTTAAGAATCTCATCCCTCTAGATAACTTTTTCTCATTTTTTTACCCCGATGAAAGGAAATTTCCAAATTTTTAAACAAATTCCAGTTTCTAGAGCCCTAAGATCGAAATTTTCACAAGCATATTACAGAATAACCAACCCTCCAGCAAATCGCGACGCAACATAACCGCCAAGAGCCCCGAGAGCGGCACCGGACCAGAATCCAGCGCCAGAAGACGTCGAAGGGCCGGCAGAAGCGCCAGAAGGTCCGGGCTGCTGATGCTGCTGGGAGAAGTTCTCCTGCTTGAAGCCGTACGGCGGCGGTTTGCCGTGGTTCATCGAGTCGTCATAGCTCGGCGGAGGAGCGCCGCCGCCTCCGGGATACCCGGGACCGCCGTCAAAGCCGCCGCCACCGCCGTAGCCGCCTGAAAATCAACTTTGGAAGTGTGTTTTGTACTTATGATAGATGTATCGAAAACTGAGAAAAATTACAAATTTTGAACTCGAGAAGTTTGCTTATGACAGTGCTGGCGGCCGGTCAATATTGAGCCGAGGATTTTTTTTTACTTATCTCTCGAAGTAACAAGATAAAGCACGACTCAAAAAAATTACACAAATTTCTATTTGCCGAAGAAATTCAAAACTACCGTAATATGTTTTCAAAATTTGATTCCGATGAACTTTACGATGATTTTTTTACCGAATAAATTCAAATTAAAAATTTTTTTACTACCCCTTAGTTTGAAAAAAAACATCACTTGTTCAGTAATTTTTAACCACTCAAGTGGCCACCAACACGTCAAAACCCTAAAGTGATTAGTGAATGTTTTTTTGCCAGTTGATTCCTTAAAAAGTAGGATTCATCAATATTTCCACGACATGAAAACCTCTTCTCGGATCTTCGGCTCCGGTGTTCCCTCGATTAGAAAACATGGCGTAGGCAATGTAGGCGATGAACAGAACAACAATCACCACGGCCGTTTTGTCCCACGATTCCAATCTGTAAAAATATTCATAACTCTTTTTTTTAAGTCCAAAAAACAAACGTTTTATCTGAAACCGCATACTTTTTCCCCGATTGCGAATTGTAGTCGAGCTCATATTCCAACTGAAATTGCAATTTTTTGCGGAAATGATTATGAACAAACCCCGCATGACCCTTTGAGAACGTAGGGATCTTCCGGGTAGTTGTATCCCTCACAGGAAACGGAAATCTGAAAAAAATCGAGGTTTTTTTGAGTTTTATTCTGACAATTTCTTCCCATGTTCAAGATATATGCCTTGCTCAAAATGATTCCGTGAAATTCAAAAAAAGCCGTCCGAGAAAGAAAAAGATAACTGAATTTTGGAGAGTCAGAGACCATTTTGCATTTCGCGGCAATCATTTTGAACACGGCAATAATAATTAATTCAAACTGTAAATAGAAGGAAAATTTGACAATTTATCAAGGTTTTATGGTGTTAAATTATTCAAATGAGTTCTTTAAATGCCTTAGAAAACCGAGTTTCGAAAGAAATTTAGTTTTTTTGTTTGGAAAGGGCTAAAAAATAATCAGTTTGAATCTTTTCAATCACAAATTTTCAGCGTTTCTCCTACAGAATATATTCTTTAAGCGATAAAATGAAGCTGAATTAATAAATCTTAAAAATCTCAAAGGCTGTCAAAACTTCATTTTCAAGTAGGCCAAGAAGGCAGAAACCAACCCTGCCAAACTCCATGTCGTGCGGAAGATCGGCGTCGCACCGCCATTGGACGTCGAGGCCGTCGTAACCCTGGTTGACGCACTGGACGACTTTCGGCAAGAAAGCCCCTTTTGCCGTTCCTCCGACGCATTTCAGTTGTGGCACCGGGGCTGATCGTCGCCCTGAAGGTGAAATAAATCAACTTTCGTCACAATAGATCATGCTAGAACTCATAGAATTTGAAAAAAAACAAAAACCTTTTTCAAATCCACTTTTTTTTCGAAAACTTACGCAATAGCTTGCTAGAATTTCTAAAGAGCATAGACCAAATTCGAAAAGGGTTCGGAACAAAGAAAAATATATTTTATTTCTTCAAAGTTTACCAATAAATTCAAACCCTTAAAAGTTGTCTTACCTTCCGTCATTCTTCCGTGGTGCAATGTGATCGCAGAAATATCCGTTAGCTTCACTTTTGTACATTCTAAATTTCTTTCTCTGTATTTCATTAAAAAAATAGAAACGAACCTCCTGTATAAAATAGTATGAATAATAGAAATAACGAGTAGAATATCCGTCTTATCATCTGTAAAATTTCCTTCAATCATTATAATAGCCCGCTCAAAACATCAAGCTTTCGGCATGGAAAGGAAAAGTATAAAAGATGAACACTACCATAACCATTATTAGGCATAAAAAAAACGAAATTTTTTATCTAAGCGATCAATGTTCAGAAAAATACTATCAAAACAACAGTCGATTTATCGGATTACCTGAAACTATTAAAGATTAAAAAGAAACCTTTTTATGTTTTATTGGGTGCTAAAATTGGGATTGTCATGAAAGAAAGCAAAAAAGTTGTGAAATTGAACAAATTTATAGAGAACAAACAGTATTAGATTATATGGAGTAAATTTTGTAATTTAAAGATTTGAAAAATAAGGAATGTCAGTTTATTAAGACTGGAAGTGCGAAAAAATAAGTTGAAAGAAGAAAAAAATAGTGGCAAAGAAGAAAAAAGCAGTTGACGCGGGGGTGAGGGCCGACCCGAGTTAGCGCAACGTCGCATTACACGCAGCAGTGGCAGCTCGGTCGTTGCGAAATTTTTTTCCAACGTTTCCGGCTATGTTAAAGGGAGATGAATAAAAATTGTGCGGAACAAAGATAGTGATGCTATCATATTTAGGGTCGTCATTTTTGCATAGACAGGATTGAGCGAAGATCAATTGATACGTTCATCAAAGAATAAAAATGAATTAAAAAAACTACACAATAATTCTGGGCGAATCCAAATAAAAAGGTCGTCAAATATGATGTTTTTTTGTGCGCGTACTCCCGACGCAAATTCACATACTGACGGAATTTTTTTAATTTTTTTGAATAAAAAAATGAAAAGATTATCAAGCTAAATAAAAAAAGGAAGCATTCTAAGAAAACTGTATTTTTTTAAGCATAATCTTAATCCAAGGCTTATCTTGAAGAAATAACTGTTTTTTGGTTATCGATGGGTCTGTTTTCGATATGTCAGAATTCTTTTTATTTGAAAGTAAGATAAGATTTACAGTTTTTTTTTTGGCTATAAAGTTATGGAAAATTTGTTTCACTCTTTGTTATGAATATTTTATTTCGTTAACCAAGAGTTTGAGGAAATTTTAAATCGTTAAAATTTTTTGTATTCATTTTAATTCTATCATGAACCGATTAAAATAGAAATCGAAACGTTTCGTACCGTTTAAATAAGTTTTCAAAACAAAACCCGCTGCAAAATTAGTTGAACTGGCGAGTCTAACCACCTCGTTTCATCGTTCTGTTTTTCCAATTTTCGAAATATCTAAAATTTCAAATTCTTGCCAAACATTCCCCGTGAGTTTTCAAATGCTTCGCTCGTGGCCAAAACATTTGTCTTCGATTTTGTAAAAAACTTTCTTTTTGTTAGTGAGAAATTTTATTACATTTTGCACATGTCCAATACTTTCGTATAAATACGCAGTTATTTTTTATCCACGTCGCCGTTGAGTTGCGCAAAGAAGTTGGGTGGCGACGCGCATTCCTTCTTGCATACTCGAAAGAATGTTGAGAGTCTCTGGTTTTGGCTTTTTGCCGACTATTCCTGAAGTTTCAATTTTTCAATGCTGGAAATTGAGATTTTTGGACGTTTTTTTCAAAACTCAATATGAGAAAGAGTAAAACCTCTTTTTCGAAGGTCAAGGCATTCCTCTAGGTCGCCGCAAACGTCTTCCGAAAGCTCTTCTAACACTCTTCGCATTTCTTTCTGGAAAATACATTGGTTTTGATGAGAAAAGTACTTTTTGATTGAGACGGATCAAATCTGATTCATTGTAAAAAATTTGAAAATGTCGATGGCAAGATAGGAAGAACTGATGAAAATAATACAATTCATTGTAAGAAAGCCCGTTCGAAGAAAACTTCAACCCAAAAGATCGTATTTCTTTCTCAAACATTGCTTGAAATTCATTTTTAAGCTCCCAAAATTATCAGATGACGGAACAAACATGGCACTTGGTGAAATGAAGAAGCCAGTCGATTCTATCGTCGCAGATCGTCGACCGGTCGACGTTGAACCGAAGCAGAAATTCGGCGTCTTTCATCTCGACGTCCAGGTATTGCAGGTAGACACGCACTTTTGTCTGAACTTTTTTCATAATGAGAAAAAAACGAGAATTCTTCGATAATTTTGTGGCATAAATTATTAGAATTTGCTTTATGGCCTTTGCCGAAGATAGAATCACTGATTGTGAAATTGATGAAACTTGATCTCCAAAGCGCAAAAGAGAAGTTATAAAAATTATTCTCAATATTGCAGCTGAAAATGATCCCAAAGTTTATTGAAATTCACGAGTTCTGTTTGTTTCAAAAAATTCTTATCAGAAGATTTTTTTTATTCTCCTTTCTTTTTCAGAAAAAAAGACAGTAATAACTCAGAAACTGAAGCTTTTTTTTGCTATTCTCACAGAAGTCACAAAAAAGTTCAATCAATCTGAATAAATCAAATCATTGCTCTCCAATCAAGTTCATACATTTTCATTAAGAATAAGGAAACATAAAAGGAACCCTCAGTTCGTTGAGAAGATCTTCTGCGCTTTCATTGGCTCGCGTCGCGTCGTTCGTGAAATCGGTGACCAAGTCAACGATAAGAGAGAGCTGTGTTGAATTCGAAATGAAGTCTTCCTCTCAGAAAACGATACCTTTTTGCACAAGGCTTCTTCGGTTTTGGCTATTTCCTCCCTCGAAACGATCCGTTCGTGGGGTTTCGGTTCTTCAGAAGAGATCGTTACGTCATCCGCTTCTTCTCCAATTGTACTCGACCACGATAAGCAATCGTCCTGAAAAAAGGTCTTTTGTGTGAAAATTTTCGAGTTTTCTCCAAATTTTTTTGAAGGTTTTTGAAAAATAAAATTCTGATAGCCTTTTCCAGTCTAATATTCTTTTTGGATTTTCAGATTTGTCGCTGAAACTTTGGGGGAGTCTTTCTATAGCTCACTGGCAAAATTTTCAGTTTTGGAGATAGAAATTTCCAAATTTCGCTCACTAATATTTTAAGACTCGAAACGGCTACGCGAGGTACTTTCATTTCGAATACTCGTTTTTTTGCATTAATAAAAAAACGACTTTTTCTTAAAGAATTTAATAGAAATTCGCGTAGGTAGCAAACCTTTAATAGTACCTTCCAGAGTGTTTCGGAAAGGCTATAGCAAATTCAAAACTTCACACTGGAATGATTTGTGAGCGAGTCTTACCAGGTAAGAAAGTCAAGTGATAGATTTTGTTTCAAGTGTGATAAATACCTTTGAGTAATCGACAGTTGGTAGGGAGACCTCCGAATGAGGTATAGAGACGTCGGTTACGGTAGAAAACTGCGACGGACTTTCGGCTCTATAGCTCCGCTCACCCAGCCTTCGTATCATATTTTACCTAAACTTATACATTTAAAAAAGTCATGACCGGTTTCTAACAGAAATGTTGAAAATACGCAAAATCATTTTCAAAATTAGGTTAAAAACTACAAAAAGCTGTCGAGAAGAGTTCAGACGTTCGTTCAGGAAGGCTTCCTGAGAATCTAACTAGACTTAGCAGAGCCTTTTATTTTTCTGACGATTGAATTCAAGTGGAACAAGCTAAGCCAATTAAAGCCGTGTGCAAAGTAATTTCCGTAAAATATGTAACTCTCCAAAATTTAGTTATCTTTTTCATTCTCTGATGGCTATTTTGAATTTCGCGGCATCACTTTGAACACAAAATTACGTTTTTGAACAAAAATTTGAATATAGATGAGTGTGTCCAAAAGATTTTCAGGAACTATTCAAAATAAAATTCGCAAACTTTATGAATTTTCGAAAGCGGAAAGCTGCTTTCAGTGACTTCATCAAAAACCCCGGCAAATTTTTTTTTCGAATAGACTTTAGAATGAAATCTAACCGAATCAATATGAAGGAAGAAAAAAAGGGATTTTTCTAGAATATTCAAAGCAAAATTCGCAATTTTCATGGATTTTCCAAAGCGGAAAACAACTTTTAGTGTAAAGTTAAGCTATGCAAGAGATTTTAAGCCCCGGAAAAATTTCTTTTATGAACAGGTTACAGGATCAAATTTGAATAAATTAACATGAAGAGAGAAAAAAAAGAAGATTTGAGGGAGTGGATGAGGCGAGAAGCGATTGAAAGTGTTCGATAACCAGAGGGAGAAGGCGTGACCCCGTTTTTGGGCTAGCAGGATCATCCACGACGGCCGTTCCTCCTCTCCGCGGCTTCTTCGGGCCCGCCATTCTCCCTTTCTTCCCGGTGAACAAAGCAAATCCCACCGTTTTTCCGCCAGAATCCCGCTTCGATTTGATAACGCTCATCACGTCGAGTAATTCGATTAACGCCGTTTTTAGGCATTCGACGGAAGGGCAAATTGGAGTCGAACTGCACGGCAGACTGAAAAAATTGACACTTCGAAACAGTTTGATGAGGTGTTTAAAATAGCCAAAAAAGACCAATTTCGAATAAATCTCGAAGCTAAAAACTTTTTTCAGGTTTGATTCAAGCGAAGCTCCATTTTTGTAAACTTTAACACTTCCGAAAACGTTTTCGAGAAGAAAATTTTTCCATGCTTACACTTTTTTTCAACTGCTTTTTATTTTTAGGTCGTTAGCAGAGTTCAAAAAAATTTTTATCACATAGCTTTTTCAAACGATTCTCTGAAAGTGAGTAAATGCTTTGATCATACAATAATTTTTTTCAAAGATGAAAAATTAGCCCAGGAAATTTTGCAATTTTTACTTCAGATCTAGAAAAAAAATTCAGCTCAAAAAAAGGGTTTGATTCTAAAAATTATACGAACATAAATATCCGTCGAATAAAATAAACATCAAAAATCACAAAAGTCTCCAACAAATTTTAAACCCGAGTAACAAAACGTGAATAAAACGTCTTTTCTCATTTCGTTTTTTTCTTTCAAACTTCAAGTAGTAGGATCGGATTGATCGAAAAACCACATATCCGTTTGGGATATCAGAAAAGTTTCACTGTTTGCGCGTCGCGCATAAAACGATTTATTAGACTTTCTCCACGCCAATTTATATATCACTTGAGGAACTGGGATTCTTCGGGTAAACCTGCACATTACAATCATATAGGGTCTCTTCGAAGCGGAACAAAAATAGGAATTAGAAATCAAATGAGCTAAGATTTGAATTGACCAGATGGATAGTGACGATCAACACGTATTTGGATGGAACAAGAAAAAGAAGATTGAAAAAAGAGAAAATTGGAAACAAAGCATAGAAATCTGATATGGGCTATCTACAAGGTGGTCGGGGTTACATGGAGTTGGCTACGACGAAAACCATCGATTCGTTCAGTTGGTCCTGGAAAAGGTTGGGTTCAATTAGTCCGGGTTGAAACCAGACGAACCCATTCATTTGCAGCGAACTGATCAACGGCGATGTTTGCATTGGCTCCGAGATCGGCTGAGCAATAGAACCACGTCGATGGATTCCCAATTCGTTCTGGAAAGATTTGTTAGCCAAGCATCGAATGCAAGTAAACGGTATACGTATTTACAACGTTTACCCAAGAAAAGGTTAATGGCCTAACATCGTACATTATGTTGGAAAATTGTAATAACTACGTATGAAAGACTCTTGTAGCTGATTCACGGTTAACTAGGGCGTGGCGTGTCTGCGCTCTCCACAAACCAGTCACTATATCTTTTATTATCGTGTCAGGACCCTTTCTTTGATGGCTCATGCCGGCCGTGAATCAGCTATATGGACTCGATCCTGGTAACGCGAAATGGGCGAGTCGGAGCATTTCTAGTGACCACTTCAGTAGCGTCAGCTTGATTAATGATCCCTACGTCTGGAGAGCAAATTTGAGCCAATTACCATTTTCGGGAATAATCGGTGAGCCACATAAGGGCTTAGGAAGTTGGAATTGAAAACGACAGAATTTAAAGAAGGAAAACTTTCGAATTCTCTTTTTCTGCAATCCTACTCCTACAAGCTGACCGAACAAAAAATGAAGCTGAAATACGGATTCAATAATAAAAAAACCAATTTGATTTTTATGGTCAATTTTTCTGACAATTATCATTAAAATAAAAAAGATAAATCCACAGAGTTCAGGGTTACTTCAGCAGCAAAAAATAAAATCAGACTGTACGCTCTACGAGAATCTTCAATACTAAATTTCCATCAAAATAGGAAAATTTGGAACCTCGTTTCTGTTGATTGTCGTCACACACGAATCGTCCCCGTTTTGCACATGCATTTTCCGCAACCTGGAAAATCGCGAATTTTCTTCAATTCCTCAAAAATCAATCTATAAGCTGAGAAAAATTGATGCTCACCACACAATATATATATATATAGGATAATGTAACCAAAAGTTCAAAGAGAACGAAAAAATACGATCACGATACATTTCACAGTACCACATTGATTTTGTTTTCCACACTTACATTGAACTGCGCGTCATCGGCATTCAAACTGAATATTTCGTTTGTTGGAAGGAAAAATTATTCATTTCATCTAAATGAACAGAAGAAAAAAAACAGGTTGCCCCAGCCCATAATCACTGCATTGACAGGTAAAATGAAGAGTCTCGATGTGGGAACTCTTTGTCGCAATCAACGTTTTTTAAGTGGCCACTTAAGGGAAATTCAATGGTTTTTTGACTTTTAATATAACCGCTTCAGTGAAATAATTTTGAAGAGGCAGACTAACTTTGTTAATTTGAAAATAGAAACTTCAAAGTCGACTAAACATTTTCTTTACTAAAATTGAGAGAAAAAAACAACTAAAATTTGAATATTGTTGATTTTTCAAGCCTTGAAAACTCACGAAAATCACCCTTTTTCAATGATGTCACTATCCGGTTTTGATTTAACTAATATATTTTTGTATTTTTACAGTTACATTTCGTAGTGTTGATTGAACTGATATGTCTAAAAATTCGGATGATTGCGACAAAGAGCTTTACATAGTTTCCCCTAATAGAAACGAAGCCCGGTGAGAAAAAAGGACATACTTATTGCGGCTCTGCTTCATGAACTTTCTGGATTTTCCGGGCGGCCGCCTGTCGTTTCCGGTGACCGCGGTAGGCCAATTGGATCGTGGTGGCGGCGCGGTGTTGCCGCAGAAGCGTCGAGTTGTTCTGTGGAACCTGAAGTCAATAATCTTGCTTTTCCTTGTTTGATAATAGTAGGTCGCCCCTGTCGACAAATAAACTGACTAAATTCAAATATATATGAAACTTAAATATTCAACTCTTTATGAATTTTATCCAATCTTTTCTACTTCGACAAGAACTTTGATCTGGTATTTTTCTGAGGTTCATCCTCGAAAGTCTTGAAAACTGTTTTTAATTATAACTCAGTTTTTAATAGAAAAACTCCCTTTACTTGAAAACCTACTCTAAAAGATTGTAGTGGTTTTTTTCGATTGTTAAACCCACAGTGAGTCGTATATTTGAACCAGAAAAATAATTGCTTCGGAGGTTCCCCAAAACTTTTCTTTACCTGAATCCGGATGCTTTGGCCGTCCAAAGTCGGATGTTCTGGAACACTGTCTTTCTCACAGGGATCCTCTTCCTTGTCGTCCTTCTGGAATATTTTCGTTTCAATCTGATTCAAGATGAGTTCAAAAGACCTTCCGCATCCGGAAATGCTTCTGAACGACGATCGCCGCGTTGTGAAGCTTCTTGAAGTAACAAAACTGGAAAAATTATATCAAAATATTTAATCTTTCAGGGATCACTTTTTCGCCCATATAAGGAATTTATTGACCCCTAAACCATATAGGGACCACTCTAACATTCCTAAGACTGTCTCCCCGTTAATACTTTCCTTCCAACTGACCTTTGAGCCTCCTTTTTTGAGAGTATAGTTTTTTCTACTCAATTGAACTCCACCCCGGTGAATAAATCATTAATCTTGATCAAGTGAAAACAGTTTAACGTGGGAAAAGAAATGAACCTGCTTATATCTCCGATAGCAACATTGAATGGTGACGGCGGCGTTTCTTTCGGCATCGGCTTGACGTCGCGAAGTGTTGCGAGCTCTGAAATAAGAGACTTAGTGTTTGAGAAGAATGATACGAAGTTACCTATATTCTCGGTAAGCCCGCTGGATCACCATCGCCGCTTCGTAAACCTCCCGTTGTTCATTATCTGCAAAAATCTCCTTGTATAGAAGAAATTGAGATGTATATTTACTTTTCGAATCAAGTTTTGAGCATCTGCTCCCAAAAACCGCATCGCGCCCACAACCCGCTACTACTGTAGCTGTACGGTATCTCATTTTCAAATTGTTTTTTTGCCAACCATTATTTCACTTCAAAACTGACTTTTTATCGAACAGAAACTTTTTTTTCAAGCCAGTACTAATGCAGTGGACAAAAACCCTTCAAGTTCAGTTTGATAGGATCAGTTCCGATCTCTCACTTACTACTGTATTCTTGAAAATCTCGCCTCTCGATTCCGTCTACATAGACTATAATATCACTTTGAAAGCGACCATATTTTCTATTCACAATGATTAAAATTCATTCATGAATAATTCCCCTTGATCAACCACGACTTCTCACCGGTAGGTCCACGGAAAAGCAAATCGTCCTTGGCATCAAGCGGCGATTTTTGCGGCGTCAACGGCGAGAAAACCATGGCGGATCACGCCTTCACAGCTGATATTCGCCGCGGCTTTTCCTTCCCTATCACTGGCGATACGGGTAGGTTTTGGGGCAGAGCAAATACTGAATGATATCGGTCGGTACTAATGAGAGAATCGACGCGAAAACAGTAGTCGGAGCAAGAGTTGAGAAAAAGGGAAAAAGTTGATCTGCATGTTTTCTCAATTAATGAAAATTGTAGGCAACATTTTTACCGAACCTTTTGTGAATGAACAAGAAATTTGGTTCAAAAAACTGATTATCGCTGCGATTTCTGTAATCATATCTAGGATTTCAACTATTTCTAGGATTTCAACTATTTCTACCATTTTTAAAAATTAATTTTTCTTAAGGCAGATGCATCCCAAATTGCCCAAGAACCTAATTCGCATCATAGTAAAACAATTTGAAAACTGCAAAATTTCGAAAAACGAAAGAAGAATTTTTTCAAAACAAGAAGACTAGCTGAACAAGAAATGAATATTCTCCGATAGGTCTCTTTTTGAAACTATTTAAAAAAATAGTTTGAAAGATATTTTCATGTTTTTACAGTAACAATTGCAGCTCTGAAGAAAGGTTCCTTGCATATTCTCTCAGTTTTCGAAGTAAAATTAAATTTTTTGTCTATTTTCATTAACGATGTTAGAATATTAAAACTTCAAGCTTAAACATTAACCTTGAAGAAGAGGAAAAGTCTGGAAAGCTGCAAGAGCGTGGAAACAAAAGAAAGGTTGGAGGGAAAAGCCGAGGGCAAAGGCCAGGGATAGAGTGAGTCGCGCGAGGCTCGGACTTGTTCAAATCTTCGGGTTACCTACGTCCGTCCTGCCTGGGCCAAAGGCAGGCCAAGGCGTTTGAGAGAGAAAGAGAGGAAGGCGGCCGGCCAGACAGTGTGACAATCCATCCGTTTGGTGCTCGCTTGACGTCATCATCTCAAGTTCGCCGGCCTCTCGATATACCCCATCACAGCTCTTCTTTTCCGAACTTCAACTTTTGCAGCTTCTCCTTCCCCATTCCTTGTGTTTGCAGTCGGAGAACCGTTCAACTTGAGTGAGTGAGAAAGAGAGAGTGAAAGAGAGAAATGGGAAAGGTCGTTATTATTGGAGCATGAAAGATTTTTCTTTTCAGAATATGAAGATTAGGTTCATAGCTTTCTTCATTCTTCTTCAATTTTGATGAGATGATCAGAAAACGGAAGCTTCCGTGTTAAGCTTCTTCTCACTGATACTCAATTTCCCATGAGATTTTTGATTATGTTTTTTTTTACAAATTCAGGAATCTTAACTTCTAAATGGATTATTGAGTTTGCAAAACATGAGACGTTATTTCGAGATTGAAAAAAATTGACATATTTCTGTCCATTTTTCTTTCCAAAAAAAGAAAAAAAGTTGAAAAATCTGAGAATTCCATAAAAAAATCTTTTAAACTTTTTGAATGAAGACCAACTTCACGATTTTCTGAGTTTACTCTCTTTCAAAAAGTCTGGTAAAAAGCTTAAAAATTAAAAAGATTTTTTTCTAGGTGATATTGATAAAGGAACCCATTTTTAATCTTCAGAGACTTAATCAATTAATATAATCAATTAATCATCCCTAAATTCTTACAGAAGCAAAAAAAAGCCTAGCTAGAGGATGTACTGCACTATCAAACGACCAAGTTTCCACGTCCGATTTCCGAAAATTGTCAGATGTTCGGTGAGAAAGAGATAAGATGAAATGTGGGAGAATAACAGAGAGAAATCAAAGACCGCTTACAAACGAGGTGAGAGTTCGGCTCATTCAACGCAAAAAAAAAATGTGTCGTAGGTGGAGGATGAATGACATCGCCGCCTGGATCCCATTTCACTACATTCTTTCTTTTTCTCTTTTTGAGTGGATCTACCGGAACAAATACAAGGGTTTTGGTAGATCAAGAAACTTCGAATCGAAGTATAGTCTAGTTGCAAAATGTTCAGAAAAAGCGATCAAATTTAGAAAAAGTGATTTCGGCTCTGTGTGGCTCTTGAAAAAATATTTTCTTGAAAATGTTCAAAATTATTAGTTCTTCTTGTATAAAACATAAACGGAAATTTTTTAAACTGGAAATACATACTTTTGTGAAACAGAAATTTTAAAAGTTGGTTACGATATCGTTATTTTCAGAACCAGGAAAAGCATATTCCACTTGAAAAAGTTGTCTTTTCATCTTTTTCAAATCGTATTTTGAAAGCCATCGGTATAGGCTAACGGCGTGTCCGATCAAAAACGACTTGCGCCCTTAGGTTCAGGCAAATTCGGTAAACTGCAACCTATTTCACCTACGATCATGGCGTTATAAGTAAGGGAAACAGTGTTTGACCAAATTTTGTGCTATATTTTGAAAGTTTTCTTTTGCAAAAAGCCGGTCTGAATGAACGCCAAAAAAATGAAAAAGAAAAAAAACACGGAGCCTAGCCATTATCAATGTCCACACAGTGCTATCAAACATCGAACCGAAACACAAAAAAGACCCTCAATTAGTGGGCGAATGACGCAAATAGCCTGCAGGGAACGCTGCTGCGCCCAAAGTTCAGCCAGAACGCGCAGATTTCGAGAACTGTTTGGACTGCTTCGCATCTTCAAAACTCTTGTAAAACAGCCCCGGTGACGCAAAAGCGACTCGTACCGGCTCGGGGGGATCACAAAACATCCCCCGCGCGGCTATTTTTGCTCCTCTCAATTGAGAAGAGCACCATCAAACAGAAAAAAACAGATACGATAGACTTTTTTGAGGAGATGCTAGACGGCCTTCTGAAGAAATTTTAGAACAAGAAACTAATCTATCAAGAAAGTTTATTCTACTCACATCAAAGAGTATTTCCGATATTTATCAAAAAATTCCAGAGTTTAACTTGTAATTTCCTTATGGGGTAAAAACTGCTCTACCGTACTACTATCGTAAATATTTGAATTATTCAATGCTAAGTACAAGAATTGTTCTAGGGAGTCCCTACAGCCTCTTAGTTCAGACTTGAACCGTACTGGGAATGGCTCAACACTGCGGAGCGGTCATAATTAGAAGTGTCCCAGACCAGTAAACGACTTCCGCGGGTCGGTATAGGAAAGAAACAAGTTGGATGAACCTTGAAACAGAGGATTTCCAGATTTACAGCCTTATGAAACAACCTCAACGCTATAAACCGTTCTAAAGACGACCAGAGGAGCAAGCTAAGTGAGTCCTAGATCCCATGACTCTTAAAGCAAAATATTTAGAGTTCCTCAATCTCATAACACCATTCTAAATGCCACCAGAATTTCTAAAAGAGTAAAACCGCTAGAAATTCGATAAACTTCAAACCCCAGGAATCATAGTTATTCTCCAAACCATACCTGAGAGCTTCAAGTCGCCGAGGCGTTGCTGAATAGGATCAACGGATGAGTCGACGTCGATGGCGAAGAACTCGCCAAGGTCTTTGTCGAAGTCGACGCTCTCGCTGTCCGACACGGCGGTTTTCGTTGACGAAGACGGGAATGAATGGTCTTCCTGAAATTAAATGATCAATAATTGGGTTGAGACCTTCTTTACAGACCTGTGAGGAGAACATGTTAGATCCGGTCATGGAACTTTGGCGACTGTCCGCTGATGTTTCGGCTCTTATTCTGAATGAATTCATGAAATTTCTTCAAAGTTGCAAAATATGAAAATTTCTTTTGTGACCTTGAAGTCGTCTTGCGGATCAAATTTCTTCAATTTTTTTTTGAAAAGTTCAGTAAAGAACTCTAGCAATTCAAAATGTGTGGCTCATGCTTAACGAAAAAAGCGAGAGTATTTCACGCCAATTTGTCACGTTTTTTTAAGACAGACTATATAATCTTTTAAATGGTAGCAAAGCGAAGTGCACAAAAAATAATCGGTAGACTTTTGAATTTTCTGTTTTTTATAGGAAAAAGCTAAACGAAATGCCCGTAATCAACTCTAATTTGTAACCGCTTCGCGACCGCACGTGTCGAATCTGCATATCGTTTACAGAGAAAAAGACATTTTGAGAAAATACAGAGCAAACTCTTTGGACCAAAACTACACAAAAAAAGTTACTTTTCTTCGAAAGAAAAACTATTCGGAAAAACTGGCGAATTTAAACCAAGCATCACGAATTTTCGAAAAGAATACATGCTAACTCTGTGAGGCAAAACTAGGCGTTTACACTGAGAGAAGCGTGTTTTTCTATAGCCCATTCCGCGCCAACTTTTCACGATTTTTATTTTCCTCCGAGCTGAGGAACCCTTCAGGGAAGATTTCTATCGAAAGCGCGCGGCCAGATTGTGTGCATGCGCCTTTAATTTGGCCTTAAAAGCGCATACATCTAATAGAAAAGTTCTGTAAGTCGGAGGGGAACAAAGTTCGTGACAAGCTGGCGCGGAACGGGCATAACAAGAACTCAAGGAAACTGACGAGTGGATCGCATTCGAATCGAGCATCATGTCGTAGAGGTCGCCGCCGTGGTGGATGAGATGGTGCTGGGCGAGCATGGGATTGTTGTTGGTGGAGAGGGAATAACTGCCGCTGGCCGTGCCGAGGGACGACTCCTCGTCGCACAGCGAGAACCCGTCCGGCTGCTTGATGCGGTCCGGCAGCGCGTCGATGATTTGCTGCGCCAGGATCGCCATCTTCGCCCTCACATTGTCTGTCACCATCACTCCGGGGCTGCAAATGGCCGTGAAAAGTAAAGTCAATCAGATCCTATTTTGTTTTTATTCAATAAAACGTTATAACGCGAAACTCAGAAACTAATCCTTCAAAGAACCTTCTTCCAGAATTCATTAACTCATCTCTTGTTGAGATAGTCTACTTAGTGCCCACTAGAGTTCTCAAAATGACCAATTGAAAAATGACATTTTTTTCAAAAAAACGAAAAAAATTTTTCTTTTTGACATTTCAAACGAATGTCGTTTTTGAAAGATCAACCAAAAATTGATCACTTTCATTCTTTTCATTTTATGACTTTTTCAAATAATGACTGAAAAAAATAAATGGTCATTTTCTAAACAATCATATTCTGACTAGTAAATAAATGTTCGTCCTAATGACCAAATTTTTTTCAAAGTGAAAAAGTAAATGGTCACTTTTTTTTGACCAAAAATTTTTCAAAAGTGAAATTTAAATGTTCATTTTTTTGACCAAAATTTTCAACAAGAATTTTTAAATGTTTACTTTTTTTCGTACAAAAAAATTTTTTTTCAACTGTGAAAATTAAAAGTTCATTTTTTTGGCCGATAGTTTTTCCGAACCTGGATTTTTCCGAACCAAAATCCAAATCAATACTTTTTCCTTTTTTTCCTCGTTCAATTAATTCTCCAGATAGCACCTTTCTTCCGGTCTGCTCATTTTTTTGGCCGGTTCCATATAATTTTTTTCCCGTCCTTAACCGGCTTTTTAGCATTGCCCTTGACCATCCAAATCACTGTTTTCCAAGAGATTTATTAATTTTAACCAGAAATTAGTTTGAATTTCGAAGTAATCGATTCATGATTTCATTTGGAGTAGACTGAGACAGAATTGACTCCGGCACAGATACTGCCAAGTGCCGTAATTGTAATGAATACATTAATGAATAAATGTTTACCTTTTTTTAAAAAAATTTCAAAGTGAAATTTGAATGGTCACTATTTTGACCAAAAATTTTTTTAAAATGAATTTTAAATGTTTACTTTTTTTTGACCAAAAATTTTCAAAATGAATCTTAAATGTTTACTTTTTTTGACCAAAATTTTCAAAATGAATCTTTAAATGTTTACTTTTTTTGACCAAAAATTTTTCAAAAATGAATTTTAAATGTTTACTTTTTTTGACCAAAATTTTTCAAAATGAATCTTAAATGTTTACTTTTTTTGACCAAAAATTTTCAAAATGAATCTTAAATGTTTACTTTTTTTGACCAAAAATTTTTCAAAAATGAAATTTAAATGTTAATTTTTTTGAACAAAATTTTTTTCGAAAAAAATAAATAATTGTTCATTTTTTTAAATGCTCAGTTATGAAATTTAACCAAAATGAGGTTTTTTTAACAAACAGTTCATGTGAAATTTAACTAATTGGTCGAATTCATCAAACGTTCGGAAAAATGTTTGGTTGAACGTTCGTTCAAACATTTACTTTTGAGAACTCTAGTGCCCACCTAGTGACCACTTTGAAAAGCCGAGCCATTTTCGGCGAATCGGGGACATGAACATCGGTGTCCATCGAGATCTCGACGTGCAACTGTTGCTGTTCACCGCCATCTTCCTCGTCAGCTTCTCGACCCTTGAATTTTTCAAATATTAAAAGGAGTCAATTTTTGAATACCTTCGACATTGGCGAGTCGTTCACCTGCTCCGTCATGCCGTCAGAAGCCATCGAACAGCTCGACGTCTGAAAATCAGAATCAGCTTTTGATATTGAAGAATTCTGTCTTTGCATTAATTTAGGAAAGATTCATCGAAACTTCACGGGCTACAAAGCGCGTTGAATCATCAAAAAAAAATTTAAAGCTGTCCAACCAAGTTTAAACGTCTCAAAATCAATAAACCCGAAGAAAAAAATCGTAAAAGCTTCTATAAAATGCGTCAAGTTTAGGCATAATTTTAAAACTTCTATTTATTTTCGATCTTTAATACAACTCAATTTAGAACAGTTAGTGAGACGTTATGGATTTTTTGCTCTTTCTCAAAAAACACCTACTATCAGTCTCTTTTTTCTTCTCCTGCTTGGAAAAATCGACTATTTACCGCGTTCCTGACAATTTGAGACTGGGAATTGGCAACCGAAGACCTCTGCTTGAGCAGCAAATGTTCTCGCGTCACCGTTTCTCCGTTGGTCATCACCCAAAGTTCTGTCGCATTGACATGGGCTCCCAGGTCTTCCAGGTCTGGAAAAACCGACTGATTTGTTCGATTAAATCTTTGAAATGATACTTTTGGGTAGCTGGGCCTTCTGGTCGTTCCTCAGCTCAAGATTCTTCGCGTCGCCGCCCAGTTCGCAGGGAGTCCTGCCACGATCGTCCAGGACGTCCACCGCTGCAGGGCAAAATCGGAGCAAAGTTCTGAAAATCACCAAGTCAACAGGGCTTAAAAAACGACTTTCTTTTTTGATACTTCGTAACGAAAATCTAAACAGAAACTTTGATGCTTCAGATTTTGTTTTAAAGATCAAGAAAAAAGAAAACTTGAAGAAAGATCTATTGGTAACCTTCATTTTACTCGCTCACGTGAGAATGGAGTTCATAGTGACAAATGAACGATTATTTACCGAGCGACATCGCCGGCGCCACATCGAACCGCGACATGAAGAGGCGTCGCTCCGTCGATGTCTCTGGCCAGCGGATCGAGTTCTCGGCAGCCGGCTACTCTTCGGCTTTAATGAAGAAATTATTCAAGGAACTCAGATTGAATGAAAAAAGTATGAAAGCTCTTTTTTTTCACATTTTAACGATTGCGTTCGATCTCCAGTTTGGAAAGCAGCGAGCCACCCTTGTTAAAGTACCGCCTTTCAAATAGGGATAAATTTAAAATATACACAAGGTCTTTCGTAAAAGTAGAACTGAAATGGTCTCAAAATAGAGTTCCTTTCCCGGCATAAACAAAAAAAGCGAAAAGTTTTCTTGAAATCACATAAATTCGAAGATTTTCAGATCTAAACTTGAAAAATGGTTTGAAGATAGCTTGTTGGGACTAAATAACCTGCGTATAACATCAAAAATACAGTGAGTGTACAAAACATGTTTATTTTATCCCTGGTTTTCGTTTAAAAGATGTTTCTTTCGAATTAGACCACGGAGAAAAATTCAATTTTTTTTCGTATTTCGACTACATCAATCTTCAAAGGGGGCGGAGCTTGTCAAAATCTCTACAAAAAGTTTCAGAAGCCTATGTCGTTGTTGCGATAAAAGTATGAACTTGAAAAAAGCAACATGAATTTTCAGTGCCTGTTTTGGCAAGTCTTCGATTTTCTCGGAGTGTGTCAAATATTTCCTTTCGTTAATGCGGCTCTTTTTAAAAGAAATAAAACATTCTGAAACCATATAAGACTCAAAATATGGTAACTGCTCAAAATTGCTCTTCAGAAGTCAAATTAAGATTCTCCATGTACACAATCTTCTAGAAGAGCCTTTCCTACAGGGTTTACTTTCAAAGGAATTTTTCGATATTAGGTCATTTACCAATGCTTCTTGCATAGGGCCTATGATTCGATTTGAAAAAGGTACCCAAGACAGAGAAGTCTTTCGGTGAGGGTAGGGAAGTTGAGCTCGGCGGCGATGTGAAGAACGGTCCGGGATGGGAATCTCTGGCTGTTTCCAAGATGGTTCATTTCTTTCAGATTCGAGCTCAGCTGTCCCACGATCTGCACGAACCAGTCCTCGTTGTAGTTGCACGACGAGGGGATCTGAAAAAGCCTTTTTCTTTCGATTTTTAAACAAAAACCAACCGTTAAGGAATCGGAACGGTCAAAAAAGCACGCCAAAAGATGGATTCTGTCCAAAAGACTCTGCGTCAACGCGTTATCGCTCTCATCGGCCGTGTAGGAAAAGTCGACTTCTTTTGAGACTGCCTGAAAAAGATTCATAAGTAGGGAAATTGAATTCCGAACGTGAAAAAAACGTGGAAAAACAAGTGAAAAAGTTTATTTTATGGTGGTATGAAAAAAACACCAGCGAAAATTCAAACGGCGACTTTTCCGATTTTTTCATATCGCTAGGGAACTTTCCGACGGCCACCTTTCCGACGAAACTTTTTCCGACTTTTTTCCCTTATGCTTTTCGGTTTAGAAAACATCTATGAACATTTTTTTCCTATTTCTTTGTGTTTTAATTATGAACAAACTACCTACTTTATATAGGAAGATGTAAAACGAAGAGTTTATCGAGAAATAAAAAGTCGGAAAAAAAGTTTCGTCGGAAAGGTGGCCGTCGGAAAGTTCCCTAGCGATATGAAAAAAATCGGAAAAAAAGTCGCCGTTTGAATTTTTCGCCGGTGTTTTTTTCATACCACCTATTTTATTTCTAATACTCTCTGTAGTTTCTAAAATCAATTTTTTTCGGTCATCTTTTATATTTTGATTTATTTTATAGAAAAATAGATATCCTTCAAATTTCTCAATGGATATTCAAACAAGTCTACAATTTATATAAAAACTTGTAATATTTGCCTAAAAAAATAGATGTCATGAGGTAAACTTCCGTGGCACTTGTAACTTGCGAAAACATTTTTAAAAAAACCGATTTCATTCTAAAAATTAGGAAGTTTTCAAACAAACCCTAGTTTTCCAATTTCTAAAACCATGAAATATTCCTTGAAAATCTAATTAATAAAAGAAAAACTCGCCTGACCGTTGCAGAACACCTGCACTTGAACAGAGCTCGCCTGGTTTGCTGGAAATAAAATTTTGAACAAAAAATAGGAAAAATAACATGATATGAATCAAAAAAGGCTTCAAATTTCCTGAAACTGACCAGGTGGAACAACGGCACTGAGAACCCCGGCCTGGATCAGTTTCGCCGAGACGATTTTCGTCCTTCCAAATGCCAAAGAATATTCGTGACCTCGCATGTACCACGCACCAATCACCAAAATCTTGGCGCCTCCCTAGGAAAAAATTATGAAAGGTCAGAAAAAATAGGATAATCCGTGTTCTTGTCCTTATACAGTTCCGTCAAAAAATATACGAAAAATGATCAGGAAAAAACTCAGCTTCTAAAAAAATTAGCTTGAAAACAAAAATGAGCCAAAAAGCTTTGAGAAGGTTAGCCTTCAAGAAAAAAATTTTGTTCAAAAAAATTTCTGTTAAAATGTTAAAAAAATTTGAACTTTTTTTAATCTCTTGCTACTTAAAATCAAACTTAAAAACAACAAAAAAAGTTTCGAAACATCCAAAAAGTTTTCCCGAATCGAATTATCTTATAGTTTTGCTTTTTCTTTTTGAGAAGCTTTTTTTTAATATTAAAAAAACAATTTTCTACGATTTCTTGTTCAATTGGAAACCTTAACAGAGCAAGTAGCTGGGGCAAAGTCCACGATGGGCGTTAAAGCGTTGGGAGAAGCGCGCTGAACTGCTAGCGGTTGTTGTTGGACGACACTCCGCGAGTTGTTCAGGACGACGACTTTCGAGTCCTGCAGGGCCGAGGCAGAGGAGACGCCGCCCATGGACGACTGTTGATTGCAGATCGACTGGAAGGTTTGGTTGAGAATTAGCATTTAAAACTTTATTTGAAAAGTTATTCGTCAGGGCGAAATAATCCTAAAGCCTTCATGAAATTGACAGCAATTTCTGAGGTACTAAGCTTTCATAGAACTTTTTTACGGTCTTGACGATTTTCATGAATTTAAAAATGATGAAAGTCATGTTTTACAGCTTTTTTCATTTTCTGTTTTCTGATAACTTTTTCTTCAGAAAATTTCCTACTGTAACAAAAATCTGCCTTACGAAATCCAGTTCAGCCCTAATTCCTAGCCCTTATTTGATGTAAGCTCTTATTTTAACTTGATCTAAAAATACCAAAAAGAGAATGAAAAATGAGATTTAGACTTGAAAGAAAAGGTGATTTTTTCATAGTTTGACAGTGCAAGAGATATTTTCGTAAAAAAGTGGAATTTATTGATAAACTCAGAAATATAATCCTCTTCTTACACTGCCACAGATTAAGAATAAAATATAAATCAGATCCAAATAAAACCCCTTCATCGGGATTGCTGCTGCGCATCTCGGTGTCGCCCGAGGGAGAGCGGCTTTCCATCTCCGAGGGGTAGTTCTGGGCGAAGGAGGAGGTCGAGGGGCCGTTGAGACAGGGCGCAAAGCGGTCACTCATGCAGTAGCTCTTCATGACCGAGCCGATGTAGTTGGCGTCGATCTCGCTGTTGGCCGACGGCTGCCGGCGGAGGGCCATCGAAGAGAGGCCGCGACGGAACGCCGAGCTGCACGAGTTGCGGCGCTCCAGTTGGAACTGGTGCGACGTCTGGAATCGAGAATAAGAACAAATTAAGAAACATAAGTGAATAAATAATTCAAGCAGAAATTCGGATATTTATCGTTTCTACCTCGCGAGTGGTCGGCCTTCATTTTTGCTCTCGCCAGAGATTTTATCGACCCCCGCCATCCCTGAACAAGCTGGGCGCCGCACTCTTCCTACATGGAAGCAGCTGGCCTTCGGAACGCTCAAAACTCGTCTACTACTTTCACAAAAAAGACGTGATGCTGTTCTTGATCAACGATAGTTTTGTGAACCGACAAATAACTCTTCATTTATTCCATGATTCTGTAGAGAATCCCCTCTGGCGGTTACAAGTTCGAGCTCTATTCGGAGGTTTTTTCCCCGCAGCTCAAACTTTTTGACACTTTTACTGTCCTTATAATTTAAAACCCAATTATTCTTTTTTAATGTGACCAAAACGGGTTTCAGAGTTGCTTGAAAAGGCTGATTTTAATACTAATCTTTTTTTCGAAAAATTTAACAAAATTACCTTGAGAGCTATCGCAAAAGTTCATATTTAACCGTTACCCTTTAATCAGGCTTGTGCGAGGGCCGGCCCGTCACCCTCCCGGCCCCCCGACCATTTCGTAAGCCCGGCCCGGCCTTAGAGGGGCCTCTAGAAAGAATGGCCCGCCCGGCCCGAAGCGCGCAACTTTTTTTCTAGTCGGATACCAAGTTTTTTTACGACAAAAAAATTATGTTTTTTTGCTCATTTTTTTCACTTAAAGTTTAACAAAAAAACTATGACTTCAGAAGTAAAAGTCACATTTCGGTGAAAAATTTATCAAATTAAATTTTTAAATTTTTTTGAAGCCCGGGCCGGGCCGCCTGGCCTGACGCACAAGCTTGCCTTTAACGTTTGATTTTCTTTCATTAAAAACGAAAAATAATCAAAAAAATATTAAAAATCTAACTAGCACAGTCTCGTTCTCAGAAAAAAATCTTCCTTTTTAAAAAAAGCTCAAGAAACTGTAGGAAACCAAATTCTCTTCTCTTCGAACACTCTTTCTCGGACCCTGTCGAGGCAATTTCGTGAAAAATTTTTTTTTAAAAAAATGGTGAATTAATTAGATTTTTTTCAATATAAATGATTAAAAAAATATGAATTGTTTAAATCTAAATAGCAAAGTCCAGTTTTCTAAATAGAAAGGAATTCCTGTGTTCTTTCACCGCCCATCATGAAAAAAATTTTAAGAATTTTCGAAAAATTTTTCGAATTTTTTTCTTTGAAGTTTATACTGTGGAGAAAGACCCAATTAAACTAATTATCCGCCTTTTTATGACTCGAAAAGTACCTCATTGCTCTGGCTGCTCTCGGCGTTGAGCATCTGAAGAGCGTCGAGGGCGGCTCCAACGAGGACGGGAATTTCGTCGGATTTGAAGCGATTGGCGTCTGAAACCATAAACTCAATCGAGCAATATAAAACAATGAGGAGGGGAGAAAAAGGGGAGGAATAAAATAAACACGGACAGATGGGGGCAAGCTGTTCGAGAAGCTGTTGATGGGAAAGCTGGAGGGAGTTGGCCTTGAGGCACTCGGCGACCGCCTCCGCCGTTTTTCTCACGCTGCACTCGCCGCTGGTGTTCAGGTAGTGCACCAGCACGTAGTTCGGACTCTGCAAAACAATTGAAATACGCTTCCGATAAAAATACTTTGTTCATGACCTCTTTGTATGGAACTCAACTTTCCTGAAAAGTTGAGTTTGAGTATTCCATTTCGACTAGGGAGCGTTTCATAGCTCCCGGCTGAACTTTCGATGAAACTTCTTCCAGGACAAGACCATTTTTTGCAATATACTTTTTACGGTTTATGAAGCTTTAAAGTTTGCAAAATACGAAAATTATGACAAAAAAAAACGCTATTTCAAGCTTTTAAAGCGTCCTAACTCAGAAACGAGATTGTGAGAATTTTTTCTTGTTCTGCAATCGGGAGTTCCAAAAATATACTTCAGCAAAGTTTCATCAAAAGTTCAACCAGTGTTTATGCACATGAAAAGTTCAAACAACCTTAAAAAGGCCCTAAACAAAAGAGCCTAAAGCTCCTTTTTCAGTCCCTCAGAAGGTGTCAAAAGTTTCTCGGAATCTCTTTTTTTCCAAGAAAAATATCCGCCAAAATGTCCAAACACAGGTTGTCTTCGTTTTTCTGATTATGTCGGTTGTCGTACGTGATTAAATAATTACGAAAAACCTAGAAAATAACGTGAAAATTATAGCAATGAACCAATTTTTGACGAGAACTTTCCAGAAGGAAATAATGATGAAGCTTATTTTTATTATTTGTTTAGAGGAGGTCCTTTTAAATCAGCGAAAAGACTATCACTAAATCAAATGAAAAAAACTGACATGAGTCAACCAATAGACCCTGCGATGGAACGTCGGAACCACCGCCGAATGTGCATAATTCGCCGAGATAACTTCTTGCTTATTAACCTGTAAATTATCGATTAGAAGAACCAGCTTCTCACGTTTTTTATTAGTTAAAAAGACCGTATACCAATTTGGCACCAAACTCGCTTCGAGACCTTTGCTTTTGCTGTCTGTTTTGCAGTTTTTTTAGAGCAAAAGTAAAAAAAGTGATCGTCCGAAATCACGCATTAAACGTGAAAAAAGAAAAAAACGTGAAACATGAAAAAAAGGAAAAATAAAAACCTTCAACTTCATGTGATCCTCCCGGATCAATTTCCCTTCTTTCCTTCGCCTCCAAAGGAACCCGTCGTTTTTGAACCAAGAGCCGTCGAATCGAGACAGTAGTATTTGGGTCCTGAAACAACTTTCGAAGTTATTGAATTGAAACAGTAACTCGGAAATACCCAGTGGCCGCCAATTGAACTTGATGGGTGGAAACCCATTGTGGATGAGTCGCTGCGGCATACAAAACATCGGCAATCTCCTGAAAATGGCTAGTTTGTTAAAACAGACAGCTAATTGAAAAAAATTGAAAAAAATAACCAACTATGAATCGGAAAAAGCACTTTTTCGCTTGATATATTTCAAATTTTAAAATATTTAGAAAATGTACCCTAGTGCCCCGGTAGAACTTTTCGGAAATGTACTTTAGGACCTCCTGATTCCTGAACACAAAGAAAAACTTTCCAAATAGATTTGGTATACAATTTAAAGACGATCCAAAAACTTTTAATAGCGCTTTTATGTCATAATTTGCGTATTTTCGCAAAATTTGAAGCTTCATAAACCGTGAAAAGTATATTGCAATAAAACTTTCTTGTCCTGAAATCAGAAGTTTCATTGAAAGTTCAGCCGTGAGCTATAAAACGCGCTTAGTCGAAATTGAATACTCAAATGGAAACGAGAAAAATTTTTTTTCTGAATCAACTTTACTCACTTGATTGGTATTCCACTTGTACTTCACATTGACGAAATGGTTTTGCTCGGCATTATTGATCAAATGCGGCTGTTGATGAACATTCACGGCTACATTATCACGGATGCCAATATGCTGCATTCGTCGACAGACGAACCGCGAAAAAAAAAACTGACGAGTGACGCTGAAAAAAAAACTTGAAAAGGATTATTTAGATTAAAATGCGACATGAAGGCTTATTTAAATAGTGAAAACGGAAAAAAAAATACAAATATGATAATCTAGAACGATAAGTTTTCGTAAAATTTGATAATTTATATTTAGAACTCGGCGGAACTAATTTTTATATAAAAATAAATTTATTCTGATAAAAAAAAAAACTTTGAAGGTTTCGTAAATCAAACTCGTTACTGTCGTGAAATCGTTTGTTTGATACGTGAAGTCATTGGATTTACTACAATAACAAAAAAAAGAGCAGAAGCTGGAGATACGAAATACAATTTCAAGAAAAAAAAAGAGGGACAAAGCTTTCGACTGACGTGAGCCGAGTAATTGGCTTCGGCTAGTTTGAACGCTTCCAGATGTGGTCGGTTTAATTCTCAACCATTTGTTTAATTTTCGCCGGGAAAGTTGTTGAACTCCCCAGATGAAAAAAATATATAAGAAAAATGAAGACTATAAACAATGAAAAGAAGCTGAAATTCCATGCTTCCGAATAGCAATAAATATTAGAAAGGTAAAAGCAGACCCAAAAAGCTCGATTTATAAAGTCTGGCAGGGAAATTCGGAAATAAACGCCTAATAAAGGAAGAAAAAACAGAATGGTGAGAAGTATAATGGAAATGTGAGGGGTTGGAACTGGCTGGGTGCCGAGTGGCAGAGAGCACGGCCGAGTTGGAGGTGCAGAGAAAAGCTCCAGAGAGAGAAAATGAAGGGAGGTCGGTCAGACGGCGATGAGAGAGCAGTGAGCCGCGGAGAGCGCAGACTTAAGCTTCGGCTCCTTTTGCCTGAGGCGGAAAGAGCCCCTATCGAGTTGGCAACGTGCTCCTTGATGTGCGGTTAACGTGCAAAAAAGGCTTTCAAGTGCTTTTTTCTCGGCTTTCCAGGTCCCTTGAGGCAGCAAAACGCAAGATGAGCGAAGTTATTCGAGCGTGAAAGTCTAGTCAATGGAGAAAAAAAAATAATTGGAAAATAAGCTTAAAATCTATCCGAATAAAGGTAGGTGTTTTTTTAATGATTTCTTTCTGAGAATCGAGGAAAAAAATCCCGGGAATTTTTCTTGGTAAGTTAGGAGCGTTTTTTTAATCTCTTTAAAAAATTTCATAAATTTACTTTGAAAAATTATGATCAGAGAAAAAAATTATGTTTCTTTTCTTTTTCCGTCTTTCCTATACTATTGGATCTATTTTAAAACTTCAAAGACAAAAAATTCCTCTTATCTACATTGGTCTCCATTTCGGGGTACTTTATGACTTTGTTTTTCTCAAATTCTTCAAAATAGTTCACATTTAGAGAATTTTTTTTCAAGTTACTTGGCTCTACTGAAAAAACAAAAATGCTCGGGTCACCGTAGAAGTTATTTAATTTTCAAAAACACTAATTTTTGGAAGCCAAGCCGTTCTCAGTAAAATTTTATAAATTCAAGTTTGATTCACTGGGCTCAAATTGAAACTCTCTGTTCAAAGACAAAGATATTAAAAAAGTCGAGATTGAGACCGCATTTAAAACTAGTAACTTACACCGTTACTTTCCAACTTCTCGAGCGCAAGTCGTTTCAGGTCGGGCGAGTCTTAGATCAATCTTCACGCGTTGTTTTATTGGACTCCTAAGTACGGTCGGACTTGCTCTCCTTTCATCACAGGGATTTCTAAAAATAGAACTCAAAGTGAAAATAGAAGTCTTCTCGAACATTCCAACAGGTAAACTTTCCAAAATATAGTGTCTTTTCGATTTCGGACCCTTGCTTATCCAAAACAGCGACCACAGAGATGGGAGAATTGCAATGTGAAACACGTTCTTCGGATTCTGGGCGACAAGAAAAAGCAACAGAAGGGAGGAACTAGTATCGTTCTTTCAGCGCCTCCACTAATCCGTGTCTTCTTTAGTAGCGCACTTCAGTGCTTTTTGGCAACCATCCAGCCCGTTTTTCTGTTCTGTATTTCCGATTCTACCTCAATCAGACTTGTTCTACTTCTTACGCCTTTTGTCCACCTCGAGTAGCCGAGATCCTACCATGATATCATTGATAACCACAATAATGTGGTATCCGTCCTTGTGGGTGACGGCTGAGGATTACAAAGCCCTGGTTTATCCACTACCAAAATTTCTAAAACTCTTTGTGTCGAGGCGGGGGTGGAACTTGGGACCCTGTGGACCGTAGACAGCCCCACAACTACGGTGGCTGAATTCTATCCATCCGAAATTTCAATCAAAACGGAAAACCAAAAAAAAGAAACTTTCCGATCGTTCAAAACCTCAACCTCCAAATTTTGAGTGAAATTATTTCAAAATAACTCCGAAATCTATGCTTTCGACATAACAAAGTCTACTCGGATGTTCCTTTTTCTGATGTCTAGAAAAACTACTATCAAAATCCGAGGAAAAAAACAGCCGCATGATATGCCAAAAAAAATATGCGCGCTGGCGATCCGTTTCTTATTTTGAAAAAGGCAACTTCAACTTCTTAGGAGCCTGTCTCTTGGAAAAATCATTAGAAAAAAATTAATCATTATTGACTTAAAATAATTGATTTTCGTGACATCTGATTATTTTTAACAAAAATTTGCCTCATCGGAACCTCATTGATAGAGGAGTATCAAAAGTCAAAAAAATCAAGATTCCTTGGTTCTACTGGCAAGATTACTTTGTAAATCGCTAAGTACGGAGAGATTTGAAATGATCTTTCTCTTTCCGATCAATCAATAGTGATAAAAAAGAGAGCAGCTCATAATAAGCCATCGGAAGCCGCTCCGGCCGTTCTCACCCGACTTTTCATTTCGTTTCGCGCTTTTCTCTCTCATTCCACCGGTCACGTCGGCGTCTGACACAATTCTACACGCCGTCGACCGCGATTTATCCATTCTGAACATTTCAACTCGTTGTACCTTTGTCTTTTCACTTCCCGTCCAGGGTCAGCTTTTCTTTTTCCTATCATTTCGATATTTTTTGACAATCCGAAGTCAGAGTACATGAAGAAGGGTGGCTCTAAAATTATTCAACTTTTGGTTCATTTTTCGAAAAAAAATGTCTTTCTGATTAATTTTTTTAAGCCTCAGGATTATTAGAGAGGTAGTTCTGGAATCAAGTTGTTTTAAAACGGACTTTTCAAGGAAAAGTAGATTTCTCATTGTTTTATCTTCCTCAAAATAGCAAGCTTCATTGTTTCGAAGTTCAAATAAGTGTGGCATGAATTTTAGGAACTGTATTTTGTAAAACCAGATTCGCCTATTGAACTTAGTCTTATCCTTCTAAAACTGTTTTAGATCAACCCAAGTGCTTTTCAGAGCTTTTATTTCCCAAAAAGTCCTACCTTAACTAGTTTATTGTTGAAAATGTATGAAGAGGCTTCTAATTGAAATTTCTAAGTTGAAACAGTTTCTTTGTCAATATTTATCTCGAGTTCGATTTCTTATCGTTCCATTGGAAATCGTTTTAAACTTCCCTTTATAACACTTTTTCAATTTTTTTATTAGCTGAAGACCTTTTTTTCGAACAAATTCAAGCTTACAGAACATAGAAACAGAAGAAACTGTTTGATGTTTCGAAGTTAACTCAAATGTCGTTGGCACGGAACGGATTCATCGGATTGCTCTCGTCGCTCGCCTACGTTCGGATACTCAAATTTTTTCATCTTCAGCCTATTTTGGCGAGTTTTCCCTTCAAACTCATTAGTCTCAACTTTTTTCAGATATTTTCCACATTATTCACCCTCTTATTATTTTCCTACGTTATTTATGAAATATATTGGAAGCGACGGAAGTTGCCAAGTGGGCCTTGTCCCTGGCTTGTGGCCGGAAATATGCCTTCTTTCGTCGTAGGTTCGTTTTTATAAACCATTTAAAAGATGACTAGAAGATAAACTTTCAGCAAAAAGTGTCGACCAAACTATTCGTCGAGTGGAAACAAAAGTACGGAGGAATTTTCACCGTTTGGATTGGGCCGATACCCTTGATAATGGTAAGAAAATATGTCTTACCCTTAAAATTGCATCACTTTTTCATTTAACGACTGTAAATTGAAGTTTTCTTCTTCCTGGACCCGAATTTGTGCCAATTTTTCCAGGTGGCGGACCTTGCGACGATTAAAAAGTACTTCATCCAACACGCCGACACGTTTTCCAACCGCTGGCGAAACTTCGTCACGGATTCGATAATGAGTTTGTCCATCTTCATTTTTTTTTTCCCTGCGTCGGTTTTTGCGAAATCCGTGTGAAATACTCCATTCAATCGGCCTAATTGTTCCGTCAGGGGGTCGAATAATTGCAATTTCCTCTTTAAAGTTGGGGAGAGAAGTTTTTTTTTAGTTCCTCTTGAAACTAGTCCGAAAAGCTGAAGAAGATTATGAAAAAATTGACTTTAAATACCCAAATCGACGCAGAAATTCACGTGAGTTTACAAAAAAGGTTCCTAAAAATAGCAATCGAAGCACGTCAATTTTCTTGCAATTTTGCAAGAGCCCTGTCGCCAAAATTTTCTTCAAGAGCCTTAGAAGGGTGTTGTGATCCTACCAGGCTGTGCGACAGGCTGCCTGGGCCAAGTCGGGCTAGCCCGGGCTTTGAGCTTCTTTTTGTGAAGAGTCCTGCGCGGTCTTGGTCAAGACAAGACTTCAAATACAGTTTTTGAATTTAATCAAAAAATTTCCCATTTTCAAAACTTCACAAAAGCCTGTTTTACTAGTTGAATCATAACTTATGTTGCATCTCAAAGGAAAAAAAAGAGCGAAAACGTGATATTCTTCGTAAAAAAGTCTGCTATTTGACGTTGAGAAAATGTGTGCTTTATGGGCCGGACCGGCCGTTTTTGAGTCCTCGCTAAGGCCGGGCCGGCCTGGGAGCTGATAGGCTGTCGAGCCGGTCCTCGCATAAGCCTGAATCCAACAAAAATAAACAAAAAAGAGCCGTTTCCAAATAAGAAACTTTAGAAGGCGCCAACGGGGTCGTCCAAATCGACGGCGAAAAATGGAGGGAACAACGACGGTTCGCCCTTCACACTTTGAGAGACTTTGGAGTTGGAAAACCGCTGATGGAAGACAAAATAATGCTTGAGGTAAGGCTTCCCCGGCTAATTTTCATTACAGAAAGTGGAGTTACAGGTGGAAGCAATCGTGGACCATTTGGAAGCCAACCCAGGTTCTGAATTGAACATCTGCAGTCCGATAGCAATTTGCGTCGGCAATATTATTAACAATATGCTTTTTGGCGTTCGATTCGCGCAGGTAGTTTTTTGAATTTCAAAAATCCTTTTCTGTTAGGCTTAGGGGGGGCGGGGGGGTTTCAAGAAACGCTACGAATTTCCTCTGAAAGTCTGAGAGAAGCCTTCAAGATACTCTTATAGTCTGTGTGCCACGACTTGAAATTTCACAGAACGACATTCCGCTGTTCCGCTGCGTGCGTTCGCGAAGCGTCTTTCGAGTCTAGGTCATGCTGATAGGTCATTGATTGTTATTGCTGTGGGAGCACATGAAAGTAGAGTACCTTGATAAAGGTTCGCAAAGGCGCGCAGCGGCACAGCGGAATGTCGTTTAGCCAAATTCCAAGCCGCGGTACACATGCTATACTAGTTAATATGAAAACAAAAAAAAAATTAATAAATAAATAAAGACCTAGAGAAACCTTTCAGGGAGACGAAAAGATGAAGAACCTTCACATTTTGCTGGACCGACAATCACACATCGTCATGAAATCGATCATGGGTCTGTACATAGCAGCTCCAGTCACCACCAAGATCCCGATCCTCAACTCGAAATGGAACGAGCTCATGGGAATTCGCGACCAACTCTGTTCTTTTCTCCAAGAACAAATCGACGTGAATTGCAGTTCCTTTTCGAATATCAACAGAAAAAACTAGGAGCACGAGAAACGTTGGGAGGAAGGTTTCCGCGACGAGGAAGATCTGACGTTCGCCTACATGGCCGAAGTGGACAAACGAAGGCATTCCGGTGAAGACGTCGGTCATTTCGAGTGAGTTTTTGGGTCAGCTGGTAGGGCATTTTCCAACAACGGGGTGATTGGTTCGAGCTTGTCTAGGGCTTTTCAAGAATTTTGATCTTCATAACATACATAAAAGACTAAAAAGGACTTTTCACACAACTTTCTGCAGTAGTTCTTGTTTCTCAGCGAGTACGCTTTTCGTCCATAAATCGAGACCGGAGTAGGTTGAAAATCCTAGAATAAATCGATTTATTCTCAACTTTCCATGGGGAACTTTCAAATAACTAATGGTTTCAGCAAGCTACAGCTGCAGATGCTCCTGCTCGACTTATTCTTCGCCGGAATGGAAACGACCGTCACCACACTCAAATGGGCTTTCCTGCTGATTGCTCGCAATCGCGAAGTTCAACGACGAGTCCAGCGTGAGCTCGACTCCTTGGGCTCTTCGCGGATGACTTTGTCCCACAGGACCCAACTTCCCTACACCCAAGCAACCATTAATGTCAGTCCGACTAGAAATTCCGGCCCAACAGGCTTAAGTTCAGGAAATCCAAAGGATGGCCAACATCCTGCCAATCAACCTTCTGCGAACCGTTGCAGAAGACGTCGAAATCGACGGCTATCAGCTCAAAAAGGGCTGCCTCATTATCCCACAGATCTCAATTCTCATGAACGATCCCGATCTCTTTGAAAACCCTGATCAATTCCAGCCAGAAAGGTTCCTCGACGAACACAATAATGTAAAAAAGTACGTACTTCGAAGCTTGATTTTTTAAGAAAAATAATCTTCAGAATCGACCACTTTATGCCGTTTTCCATTGGCAGAAGACAATGTCTCGGCGAATCGTTGGCTCGCGCAGAACTTTTCCTCATTTTCGCCAACATTTTGCAGAAATTCGAGATCAGCGTCTCAGAAGACGTCAAGATCGAGGTGGAATCAAACTTTTTTGAAAACTAAATAGATTTTTCAGCGAGTCCTTGGCTTAACAGTTTCGCCGGCACCTTACAAGTGCATCTTGACACGAAGAAAGTTCGATGAGAATCAAAACTTACTATGATAATAATATTTTTCAAATAAATACTTCGATATTGAAAACAGGGAAAAAAATCTGCAAGTTCAAAACATAGGCAAAGTCGGAAGGAGGCTATACGGGCTCTTTGAGCGTCCGTTATGGATCAAAAGGCTTCCATTAATTGTTCCTAAACGGGTAGCAACGGTTTCTTTTCAACAGCCTTTTTTCCGTCCTTTCATCGGCCTCCATCCACCCTTTTTGGATCCTTTTCAGAAACATAAAACTTTTTAAATTGAGAAAATCTCTACCAGTGACTGTATAATCATCAACGGCCGAGACTTCCAGCCCCCTTTTTTGGACCGTTTGACTCGAGCGAAGAAGATGATTTTTTTTTGCGGTCCTTCTCTTTTTACCTCAAAACTTACCAACTTATTGACACATTTTGAGCTACTTAAAGCAAGAAATCAAACAATTTAATGATAAAAGTGATAAGTGGGCAAAACGGCCAAATTTAACTATTTTTTCAGAAATGACAGATTTTCGATAAGTTAGGCAACGTTTTTGATGATTTTTTGCAGTAAAATAGTCAAAAGGTGTTAAAAATTGCAAATGAGCAAGACGGCAGTCCAGAGACATTTTTACATATTATTCATAGCAAGTTTTTTTTTTCTCGAACAGTCTGGTCCTTCTGTGCTCTTGATCAACTCCATCTTCTTCTTTTTTTTTTCTGATTCTACAATACTCGGTCTCAATTACAACGCATTGTATCTTGTCCTCGCTCGGAGGGGCCGTAATATTCATGTCATAAAGCTGCCGGTCGTGTGGCGCAAAAACCGTGGCGAGTCCATCGGCGGAGGGGTTGATTTAAAGAGGGACGTCTGGCGGAGTTGCATCGACGCCTCACCTTTCGGGCCGCGCAAATCCAAGCACCTCGGCGGCAGCTTCAGCCGCATCGGATGTCTCACCTTTGCCTGTGCCGCCGACCCAACAAGTTTAAGACTAGTCCACAGCTTTTTATGTATACTTTATTTCACACGAAGAAAAATTTGCAGACAGAGAATTATCCGAGATTTGACAACAAAAAAAGTTGACAGAAACTATATAAAGATTTTTTATCTGGTGACTCAATGTGCTTTCTCGATCTATCAATTAAGTCAATTAAGCTGGTCTTTTTATATCTGGTCTTACCTTTGGTTGATTTTTGAATAAAATTCCGCTCATGGATCATTTTCTGATTGTACAATTTCAGTTTACGACCTTTATTACTTTCGATTTTTTTATTTTCGAAAGAAAAACCAACATCTTTTTAAAATAAACATTATCGGTGATGTTGTTCAAAAAAATGCTTTTCAATATTTTTTTCGGAAATTTTTTGAAACTTGAGTTAAAAAAATTCAGTTGTTTGATAAATTTTGGAGATTGTCAAATGTTGAGAAAAATGTCTATTTTTTTCGGTTCAAAAAAATTGTGAGAAAAAAATTCAAAAACGAGTAAAATTTAAAGAAGGTTTTTATTTCGAAGAAATCAAACGTAAAAAAAGGGCGGAAACTGAGAAAAAATTTTTATTTTTCAAAAACTTATTAATAGACTTTTTCAAGACAAATCTTTGAATTGAAAGCCGTATAATTGGACGTTCACGGAGCTTTAATTCGAAAGAGTAAACGAGTTTAAAGCAAATACTTGGAGTTTTTTGACGAAAATGAGAATCTTGTAAGATGGAGATGTTAAATAAACGTAAAATGAAAAGATTTACATCACGAAAATTTGTTCACAGCCTCGATTCCCCGTTGCGTAAACGTCCATGGCTTCTGATCAAAATTTCTGAAACTCGAAGAAAATCGCGAAGCCGAGTTGAAAGAGACAATGGACGGCCTGACGAAACGACGGAAGAAGAAGAAGCTCGATGTAATTTTCGGGTTGTAAAGGAGATTGGAAGCGATTGATAGCCGGAGCAGATACCGTAGGACCAGTCGAAGGGAGTGGCAAGAGGGGACAGACGGGCAGACGAAACAGGGCCGACTTAGGGTGGGAGGAAGGAAGAAATGGAGAAGACGACAGTTGCCACTCCGGCTCCTTGCTTGCTCCTCGCGCCTGCTACCTACAACTGACTCCCGGCGGAATCATCAAAAAAAAACTGAATAATCGATTCCGACCAACGATTTTCTCTTTTTGGGGATCGGTTTGGGTAGCAGGGAACATTCCAATGTTCATTTTTTCCCGCATACATGGATTTTTTCGAAGAACGCCTCCAAAGTCTTTTCAAATTAAAGTCAGAAGCATCACATAATTGATTACGTTAAAATTTTATTATTCATTTCATCAAAATTTTTGAAAGTCCCTCTCCCGGATTTATTGACTTCTCTACTTGCTCTTATGTTTTTCTGGTGAATCATCAATTTTCTTGTATTCCCTCATTTTTCCATCAGCTTCCTCCTCCGATAAACTCATTCTCCTATTTCCTTAACATATCGACTATTTTTTCCTTGGAAACAAGTCTTTTCATTTACGGTTCAGACGAAAACATCAGAACAAGTCCAAAAAAGTTTTTCATGAAAGATCAGAGCCAATTTATGTGAAATCTCCTTTTTTTTAAATCTCGCTTTGAGAGATGCAAAAATGATCCAATTGAAAATTTTATTCAAATTCGAAAGTTCTTCACTTCAGAAAAATTTACTTTCTATTCTATTAATGTCTGAAAAATATTTCTTGATTACATTTACTCAAAATAAATCTGCTGTTGGAAAAATCTATTTAAAAAAATCGACCATTGTGGAAAAAAATTCATCAAATTATGAAATTTATTGTAATTTCAAAAATGCTCATCGTAGTAAAAAAATTCAGTTTTTCTAACAGAGTTATTGATTCCAAGTTTGGAAAAAAACGTTTTGAAATTCGGAAAAACCGATCCAGGTCAATAAATTTAGATTAAAAATTTTTTTAAGCTCATATAGAAAAAAATGATATTTGTCGAATGAACTATTTTTATGACTAAAAGCCATAAATGGAAAATCTGTTAGCCTACTACACTTTCTACCTATATGAAAAAAAGCTTTTTTTGAATATTATTTTTCAAGAAAGTGAATTTTTTTAAAGACAGAGATTTTTCGTTGCAAATACTTTTCACAGATTCTCTAGAATTTTCTCTTCTTGCTTCATTCAGAGAAAAAAATCAGATAAACTTTTTTTTGGAACATGATCTCTGTATTATAAAGAATTCCTCTCATTTACAAAATTGGCCAGTCTTCTTTTTTTATTTGTGTGGTAAGAATAGTTGGCCGATTTTAGAACTGAAGTGGAGATGAACCAAGAGCCGCACACCCAGCAGGACCCTCAGCAGAACTGTGCGACCTACGACGCCGCTTTGTACTACTCGCAGAGTCCGAGGATTCTGGCCTCATCGACGGACATCACGACGTTGACCCCTTTCGCCGCCTCTGCCCAGCCGCCTCTCGACTACGCCATCGGTGGCTACGACGTCTACAGGTTGTTCTGAACATGCCAATGTCCGATAGGAAAGTGGAGAAAACCGCGAGAAACACGAGGTAGATACTTGATAGAAAAAAGACAAAAAAATTCATGAAAATAGAAAAAAAAAAATCGATTTATCTCATCTTCACGGACGTGAGAATGTACAGAACTCAATAAATCTGCAAGGAACGGTAAAATTAGAAATATTTTGGAAAGGAACTCATATTTTTAATCTCAGGTAGATATTGATGACAGAAATAAACTTAGGTTTTTAACTCAGGAGGTAGTACTGATTTTTACTTGTTAGGGAGATCCGAGGTAAGATGTTGTTTAAAATGTTTTGTGAGGTATTCAAATGCTTAGTTTGACCCTAAGTCCTAGAGAAGACTCGAAAGCTCTAAAAGCTCTCTTCTAGGCATAACCAACCAAAAAACCTACACCTTTCATTTTTCAAAAGCGACCTCAAGTTGGCTCCGCATTCCCAAAGCGCATACGCGGAATTTATGTTTACGGCGAGGCTGGATTTGACATGGTCATTTGGAAATAAACTACAAGGCAGCATGTGGGCCCGATTTGTCGCGTCCGCGAACACATAAATCTACGTGGAGGCTGGCAACTTGCCGACAACTTCTCACTGACCACTTCGCCCTTGGACAAAAAAAAAACGGTTCAAATACCGCTCACTGAGAATTTTTTTAAAGCTCAATAAGAAAAAGCTTATTGGCGGCATTTTTTTGAAAAAAATTGATTTTTTTCATAATAGGACGAAAAAAAGCCAATTAAAAACAAAAAAATGAGAATTATTTCTATCAAATTTTTATGGCTTTTTCGAATTCTCAACAAGATATAAATTGTTCGCTGCTAATCAGAAAAAATTATCTGACAGGTTGAGCTGATTTTCGTGCTAAAGTAGAGTCATGAAAATGAAAAAGAGAAAGCAAACCCTCTTATTCCTATATAAACGATCATCTCCAGGTCAGGAATGATATTATAATAATATAATTGATTTTCAGAAATAATAAAATATGATTCGATTTTTCGAAAAGAAAAAAATGGATAACGCCTTTTTCAAAAATAATTTAACTCAACAGCAAAAATTCGTTGTGTTTCTTCGACGTGAATCATTTCAAGTTAACAAGAGATATAAAAAAACGTTTTTACCAGGAAATAAAAAAATTTGAAAAATTACAAAAATAATCCATCGATTTGTTTAGTTAATATTTAAAAATAAAAAAAGAAGAAAAAAAGATCGGAAGTAGGATGTCTGCCAAACAGAGCATACCAAAACATTTTCGAACACTTTTTTTGACGTTTTCCTGAAACTTTTCAAGTCTATCATGCTTCTGGTGTAGTTTAATTACAGAAAACTCAAGAAAGAACGCAAAAATTTAAGTTTTGAAGAGTTTTCGTCTTGACTTATTTGAGACCTCGAAAAATACTGATTGTTGATTTTTCTTCTTTTTTCCAATATTTGTCCATAACAGAAGCAAGATCAGAACCAAGATTTCACGAAAGGCTTGAGGACATTTCAACGCAAGACTGTTTTTAATGTTAAGAAATGCTGCGTGCCGCAAAGATCAGAAAAAAATAAATAATGATAATGACTAGCAGAAGCCGTAGGCGAGGAGCATGGCGCGTGTGTGCGTGTGTGGGAAACAAGTTGAAATGAAGGTGGGACACCAAGGACACCACCTGATATAGCAGTTGCGGCGCCATCGGTGCACGCCTGTGCCTACAGCTGACATTCCGGACCGGCCAACTGCGCCACGGCATATGTTGGGCCCCGTTTCACAGTGTCCAAGATCAAGCTTTCAAAACTAGCCTCATGCAAAAAAAGCCCTTTTCTCGGACCCCCTTCAAACCGCCAGGAGTAATTGCAATTACAGTACACCTTGTGGATGCTCGTTGGAGCACGGTTGACGGATGAGTTGGGTTGAGCGAGGCTCGAGCAGCTGCTCACCCTCATTCCCTCAAAACATTAAAACGCGTTTAAAATAGACGCAAGGGGTAGAAGAAATCTGAGAGAAGAAAAACTTCTGAAACCAGCGAGCCTTGATCAAAAAAACGTATGAAAAAAATTTTGAAAAAGTTCAAAAATGTTTCAATATTCGATCTCAGAGCTCCATCAACATTCTACTATCCATCCTACGGACAAGCGGCCACTTCAACGCCTTTTTACCCCGAATTAGCTCCGTTCAACGTGCGCGGCAACGAATTCCCGACAAACGGCGTACCTGAGCCCAAAGAGATCAAAACTGAGAAAGAAGGTCGCAAGAGGAGGTTAGATCCATGAAACAGGGACAATTTTCAGACCATATTGTCAGGAATGAAGACCCGGCTAGTCAAGCACCAGAAGCACCAGCCACGACTACCAATCCACCAAGAAGGAGCAAGTGTGAGTTATTTCAAAGACCCTTTGATCCAAACTCTTTGCTGCAAGCAAACGAAAGTCTCATCTGACCGGACAAAATTCTAGAAACGGTTCAAGCTTGAACTTAAAACTCAATTCATGTTCAAGCCATATTTTTTGCTGATTTCCAATTCAGTGGACCGACGTAAGGCGGCAACGATGCGCGAGCGCCGAAGACTGAGAAAAGGTCAACGAAGCCTTCGAAGTGGTAAAACAAAGAACGTGTCCCAACCCAAACCAGAGACTACCAAAGGTTGGAAAAAAATTCATTTTATGAAATCTCATTCATTTCAGGTTGAAATCCTGCGGTCAGCCATCGAATACATCAACAAACTGGAAGGAATGCTTCAACAAGAGGGGAAAATGACCAAGATTATGATTCAAAATCAAGCTCTCGGCATGCAAATTGGTTCGAATCCGCTGGACTACATGGTCAGTTGGACTTAAAAAAATTAGCGTAATTTCAAATAGAGATAAATATGCAGGCGGCGACGTCGCAATTCCCCACGGGAAGTTACGACGGCGTCTTCGACGACGACGATTTGTCGGACAGCGAATGCGACGAGCCGAGTTCGCCGGCGCCGCACACCACCGGTGAGGATAGTCTTCGCCGGAAGTTAGTTGGTCGATGATGAAACCACGGAACTTTTTCGGATTTGGGTCTTGTCAGGACCTCATCTTACGAGGGAATTCCAAATGAACCCAGCTTGAGTATTCGATGTAACTTCCTGTACGCAGAGCGTAGATAAAAATTCTCGACTTTCGCCTTTGAGCCGAGTTTTGGCGCCTTAAAGTTGGTAATTCTTGCAATCAAAATCATTTTTGGCATATGGCCACCATAACGCAGCTCAAAAGCGAAATCGAGAATTTTATTTTATTCTTAGGCTACAGAAGATCTCAAATGTTGATTGAGTTCTCAGGCTGGTTCTTTTTGAAGTTTCCTTGTTAGAAGCTGATGATCGTACGTGAAATACTTAGAACGACTGGAAACCTCGAAGAGTATCTTAGAGCGGAATTTCATCAGATTAGCTTCAAAATAATTTTTGTGCTCATAAATTTCCGTTTTATTTAAAAAAAGAATTCGAGGAGGAAAATCCTTGTTTGTGAAGGAAATTGGCGACACGTCATGGAAAGCAAACGGAGAAAAAAATTTTTTTGAAAAATTTATTTCGAAAAATAATTTTTTTTGATATGAACTACCAACTACAAAGCTGATTTACAACCGGCCAACCTGAATAATTATTTTTTTAGACCGAAAACGCGATTGGAAAGGCCATTGAAAATTCCAAAAAAATTTCACGTACGATCACGGATTTCTTAGGTGAAGTGAAGAATTACCGCGAAAAAAAAAATTCAAATCTAGTGATTATTCCTTTTAGTAAATCACGATGAATTTTCTCGCTTCTAGAAAAAAAAAATACTATTTTTCTTTCAAGCTCAGTTCATCGATTTTTCCATAAAAGTTTACACCAATTTCAAAACTACAAAAAATTATTTTCAAACTTGAATAAACCCATTAAATTGACTCACCAGTCGAGCGTTTCGAATCGAAATCCATTGATCATTTTGGAACTCCGAGGCTTTACTTGTCGAAAAAGCTCTTTTTAGCCGGATAAAAGCCGAAATAAAAGATTAGAGACACTAAGTACGGGCCCAAATTGTAAAGTAACACAAATGAAAATTCTCTCCATCACGATTTCACAATCAACTTTAGAAGAAAAATTAAATTCCTGACACGACCCATTTCCTAGAACTCTCAAAGAATCGGTACTCAAGAAACTATAAAATCATCTTGCAGTCGACGCCCCAAAGCGAAATTCTCTAGACAGGCTGACGAGAATCGTGGAAAATATTCGTGGGTCCCTTTTTTTTCTCTTTTATTCTCAGTTTTTTTTTAGAAAAGATCCTTCTTTTCAAATTTCTTAATATTCAACTGAAACATTCAATTTTCAGCGGGCGAAAGCGAAATAGCAATACCCGAAGAGAAAAAAACGAAGCGCCTGATTCTACGGAAAAGAAACTTGCTCAACTTTAACTGAATTCCTAACACTGTAAATTATTCAACGTGCTCAAAAAATCAAAAATACCCCCGTTATTTCACTTTCCACTGTGCCTAGAAGATTTTCTGGTTCAAATAAAGCTTTATATGAGTTCTTGTTTTCCTTGAAGGTTGAGAAAATGTAAAAATGTACAAGTTAGTTTCGTGCGTAAACAGTGGAAAAGCTATGTACAAACAGAAATGGAAAAAAAAAATGATAACGTACATCAGAAACGGCTGCTGAGCTGCTCTTTGAGCTGTTCGATCTCCCCTTCAAGCTGAGTGATCCTTGCGATTCTTTCTTTCGCTGCAATTTTTCTAAATTGTTCGGAGTTTTCAGAAACTTTTCACAAGTTAATTCTTTTCTGGTACAAAATTTTCAAACAGAGCAATTTCGAGCGCGGTGAGTTCAAAACCCTCGATTTTAAACTAGCGAATTGCACATTTTGAAAATCTCTAGTTTCCCAAACTACTCCATCACTTTTCCGCTTAGAAAACCAAATCGAAACAAGATTTTAAAAATATTGTTAATGTCGGCTTATTTAAATAGTCAAATTGAATTCTTATCACATCTCAAAAAAACCGAACTTTCGAACTAAACTTTTCATTATTATTCCATGTTGTAGGAAATTTAGGCGATTTCAAAATTTACGCGTCAGTTCAAAGTTTAAAAAATCTGCGGAATCGGAATTTCGAGAGCCTTTAGGAAAATTGGGTACAACATTATATATCGCTTTGGTGACTTTTACGCACGAATTAAAAAATTTGGTAAAATCCTAATGCCGATTATCGAGAGTAAAAATTATAACCTTTCTCAACATCTTTTTCGTTCTCATTGCCAGTCTTGATATTGATATTTGCCTTGAACTCGACGGCGACAGAAAAATTTGGAGTTTTCGTGACAAACCTTGAAAATCCATTTTTTTTAGTGATTCTAAATCAATAAAAAACTTTCTAATCTGCCTCATCGGACAACCTAGAGCATTCGAAACGAATTTGAGAGAGTACAGAGCTATTTGGCGTATTATCGACCAAAACCGAACTGGTAGAAGAAACGAGATTTGCAATCCGGCTCTGTAAAAATACGGAAAAAATCAAATCGTAGGTTTCTTATCTCTTATCTGAAAGTTTGTTGTTCAATTGAATAAACTTAAAAGTTTTTATCATACCCGATCGAAAAAATTCGCGTATTTTTCAAAAAACCATTATTCCAAAATCAACTAAATCCATTGTCGTTAAATTTTTAAGAGCTATGAACAAAAAAAGCTGATCTATTTCAATCTAATTTCCTTCGTTAGCTTTCAAAAACATGAAAAATACGATGCAAATGAAGAACACTGATGACAAAAAAATTTATTTATTCACGAGTTAAAAAAAGAAGAAATAAATTACCTGTAGCGTTTGAATTTTCCCATCGTTTCCGGCTTGAGCTTCTGAGCCGGACATTTTTGATCAAAACTCTTAGCCCTGCGTCAGCAAGCTACAAATAAACTTTCCTTTTTTTCATAAAAAAACTTTGAGTATTGAAATTACATGTAAGACTCTATATTTTGACAAAGAAAGAAAAAAAGGTGGTTTCGGTAAGAACAGAGCTCTGCTGCAACTAAATTTCGTGGGAATCATTTTATAGACGCCGGTATTTGTCAACCTCACTAAGAATAACTGACGAGATAAACGCGAGCTCGGTGGCGGTACATTGACTAACTCGCAAAAATGTCGCTTTTTTCTAGGCGCGATCCAGCATTTCTCTCGGCGCGACCTCGCATTTTTCTCGGCGCCATCTCGCATTTATCTTGCATTTCGGAAATTTTCAAATTGCGAGAGAAATGCGAGCTCGCGCCTAGAAAAGTGCGAGCTGGCGCCCAGAAAAATGCGAGACCGGCGCGAGAAAAAAAGCGAGATGTTTGCGAGCTCGTCAATGTACCGCCAGTGTCTCGCGTTTATCTCGGCAGTTATTCTTAGTGCTGGCCACACCGTAATTCTGACTTCGGTGGAGCGCACTTTCACGAAATTTATTTTAGAACTTGTTTTCATTGAAGAAAAAAGTTTTTCCAAAGATCTTTCTTAGAATTTCACGGCGTTTCTGCCAGTTGAAGAAAAATGCAAGGAATTTGAAACTCGGCAAAGTCTGCGCACTTCTCGAAATTCGCCCGCGAAATTTGAAAAAAATGGCTTTATTTTTTTGATTTTTTTGTCAATTTTTTTCATATTTTTTTCACTTTTTATTTTCGTAGATTGCTGATAGTATTGCGGGACCACGATCGGGGTATACTCTGGGTTGTTAGACGTTTTTTTGAAAGTAGTTCTGTGAGGCTAACTTTCAAAAACTCGTGATGAAGAAGCGTTTTGAAAAATCTCCACCTGTTTGTATGGAACATGTTTCACCCCATTTTATGTTTTTCTTATTCTATTTTTGTCGATTGTTCAGATTCCTAGGTTGTGGACATCAATGAGATGACGTTACATGAAAAAAAGTCTGTGAAGTTGAGAAAGTATGTTCCGAATTCATTTATATTCGGATATTCCGTCAACTTTTTATAATAAAAAGTACTTGCTGTAAAACATCTTTTATTTGTTTCTCCACAGCAATATAGTTTTATTTAATCTCTTTTAATTTCCTCGTCTTTTTTCTTCAATGTTCATTCGTTTCTCACACTTATATCATCGGTTAACCTTATTTTCCAAATTTTTTGTGCATGCACTAAACACGTCCTAATTGACGGAGAAAAGTGGGCGGGGCGTCGCAAAAGAAACACCGTGATTTCACAATACTATGCTGAATATTTTATTTTAAAACATTAATGCAAGTGATTTATGTGTTTTTATAGTAAAATTCCTTCACTAAAAATAACTGCCGAGATAAACCCGAGACGCTGGCGGTACATTGACGAGCTCGCAAACATCTCGCTTTTTTTTCTCGCGCCTGTCTCGCATTTTTCTAGGCGCGAGCTCGCATTTCTCTTAAATATCCATAAAATAAGGCTCTTTTTTGCATATAATTACATAAGTTTTACAGAATGAATCAGCAGTATGCAAACAATTCAGTACAGAAATTCTTTTGGTGGTATTTCTTTGAAAAAAAAGTTTTTGAATATGTTTGTAATTGGTTTTTATCTGTTTATTGCCTGTTTTTAATATGCCATAATGACGTTAATATGGTTGAATTATGATAATTAAAAATAGTTGATAAGAAAAATAAATGGTTTTTGAAAGTGCGCGTGGCGTTGCCTGGTCCGCAACCAAGATGAGGCCAGGTTGACAAATACCGGCGTCTGGAAATTTCGTAAGCTTCGATTTTCGTTTCTTTGGGGCGTAGCCATCTCGATACTCTCACAAAATGTACCCATAGAGAGGCGGATCACATAAATGCAAGAAATAGAAAAAGTAAAAAAACCAATGAAAAAAAGTGAAGAAATTCAATTTTTTTGCATCAGAAACGATGAGAAGGGCGCAATGATGCGCCACGGATAATATGCCGCTGGGACCCAAAATTTCGCATTTTTCATTGCGCGGAACACCGTGACATATCAAAAAGCAAACGTGATCTGTGGATAGCTTTTGAGAAATCGTCGTTTTTGTGATTTCGGCCTTGGAAATCCGTCCCAACAACTCACAAAAAGAAAATAGAAGCTTTATAAGCTGTCTAGATTTGTTAAGCAATGTCTATTGCATATAGTTGTACAAGATTTTACTTTTTTCCGTTCTTTTGCGTTAAAAATGAGGAAAAAGGTTTTTTGTAACAAAAATGGCGCGTTTTTTGAGGGGAAGTGGGCGTGGCATTTTAAGATAGTAGTTCCTGGAATAGTTGAAATTTTTTTCAGTTTGAAAATATGATTTGAAAAACATTCAATTACGCTGAAAAATATTCAGGAAGGCTTTGAACCCCTTGAGTGGCCACTAATTTGACCACTCGAACGTCAAAACCCTATAGTGGCCACTAAAATTTTTCCGATCAGCCAAAAAACGCTTTCTGAAACGAGTTATGACTGTTTGAAATCAACTATTGATAAACGAAATCCGTTTCTTGACAACCTAATAAATAGGAAGCAGAAACTTTTAAAAAAACCTTGTATGACAGAATTTTTGAATAAATTTGAAAAACCATCAAAAAATAAGTAGAAAAGTAATGTAATTCAGATCATTCATATGATAAAAACTTTAAACTGCACCAGAAAGTCCAATTCTGCTCTAAGTGAGACGAGAATTCTACAGGAGGACAAAAAGATGCAAAAACCATAGAAACTAGGAAATCTAAAAATTGAAAAATTTAAACTTTTAAAAAGTTTTTTTAGTGTCTTAACTAACTCTCCCTTTTGCTTTATGTGACCCAATATTCTATTCAGAAAAATTCATTCTCTGCGACGTGAACCCCGTGGCAAGGTTTCATTTTCCTGATATCGAAAAAGTTAACACTTACAAAAAAAACCACGTGGCAACGTGTCATTTCTTTGCTTTCAAATCTCATTTCTGCTTTCTTCACGACTCCGTCTTGCTCCTGAATTTCCTGTCAAGATAAGTTTTGAGCTTTCATAGAATTTCTAGTATCCACAATAAGTTTCTCAGTTCTAAGCGCTAGTAGACTAGGCCCGCGGGACTCCCGGAGTGCCGATCCCTTTTTGCTTGCAAATTGGATACGCAAAGTCACGCCGAAGCCCATTCCTGTGGCCGAGGCATAAACTGTTGGCAGCGCGATGCTGACAAAGCGATGATGGGACCCCCGCGGAAAATGCCGTCACGGCCTTCGGCGTCTAGGAATCTTAGCTCTGACAAGGCCGAGCGGAGCTCTAGCGCACCGCCTAGTTAGTTCTTCTTACTGTATAAAGCTTTCTTATCTCACTTAAGACTTTACATAAATAGCTAATCAGTCATAGAATTGTGATTCCAATAATGCAATTGACTATCTTTTTTCAATTTTGAAAATTTTGCAGGAAACTTTCAACGATATGTTCTGATCAGTCGATGGACATTCGAAGAAAACTTCAAATAGTGCCGTTTGATACCTGAAAAATGTTTTTTAAAGTTACTTTTCCTTCAGAAAGATCGAATGAAGTCAAAGATTGAGGAAAAGGAAAAGCGAATAATCGACGACTATTGGAAAAATTTATATGAGGTTTGGAAGGCTTTCGTTTCGAAAATTTTTTTGAAGAGAACGCTTGAACTATTCACACTGAACACTAAGAAAAACTGCCGAGATAAACGCGAGGTCGATGGCGGTACATTGACTAACTCGCAAAAATGTCGCTTTTTCTAGGCGCGATCCCGCATTTCTCTCGGCGCGACCTCGCATTTTTCTCGGCGCCATCTCGCATTTATCTTGCATTTCGGAAATTTTCAAATTGCGAGGGAAATGCGAGCTCGCGCCTAGAAAAATGCGAGCTCGCGCCCAAACAAATGCGAGCTCGCGCCCAAACAAATGCGAAACCGGCGCGAGAAAAAATGCGAGATGTTTGCGAGCTCGTCAATGTACCGCCAGTGTCTCGCGTTTATCTCGGCAGTTATTCTTAGTGAATCGACGACTATTGGAAAAATTTATATGAGGTTTGGAAGGCTTTCGTTTCGAAAATTTTTTTGAAGAGAACGCTTGAACTATTCACACTGAACACTAAGAAAAACTGCCGAGATAAACGCGAGGTCGATGGCGGTACATTGACGAACTCGCAAACATGTCACTTTTTTCTAGGCGCGACCTCGCATTTATCTTGCATTTCGGAAATTTTCGAATTGCGAGAGAAATGCGGGCTCGCGCCCAGAAAAATGCGAGACCGGCGCGAGAAAAAAAGCGAGATGTTTGCGACTTTGTCAATGTACCGCACCCGACCACGCGTTCATCTCGGCAGCTATTCTTACCAGGGAATGGTCTGGGACTTCTGAATGAGACCACGTTTTCTAGATATAGTTTTTCATGCTGATTCCAAACCCGGTCTCAAAAGCTGCCATATACGTCTGTGAAAAAAAGTTCACTAAGAATAACTGCCGAGATAAACGCGAGACACTGGCGGTACATTGACGAGCTCGCAAACATCTCGCTTTTTTTCTCGCGCCGGTTTCGCATTAGTCTGGGCGCGAGCTCGCATTTTTCTAGGCGCGAGCTCGCATTTCTCTCGCAATTTGAAAATTTCCGAAATGCAAGATAAATGCGAGATGGCGCCGAGAAAAATGCGAGGTCGCGCCGATGGTAGAACGAAAAGTTTGATCCGCAAAAATACGTCGCGTGAAAATTGCGACCACATAACCTATGAGCCACGAAAAAAATTTAAGCCTTTAAAAATTTTGTCCATTTAAATTAGAAATTACTTGCATATAAGGCTTTCAATTTCTGTATTTTTCTGTTTTTTTCTTTGTTCTAGTCTTCTTCAAACTTCTGCTTTAGTACTGGTTCTCATTTCTGCGTTGAGTTATCCCGGCGATCCCAGGA